GAAATCAGTAAAACAAGTGCTGTCAAGTCAACCCCAACTCATGGTGGCCCCATGTGCAGCAGGGTAGACCTGTACTCCACAAAATCAGTGGCTGATTCTGTGGAAGCAGATCATCAGGCCTTTCTTCTGTGGTGCCCCTGGCTGGACTTGAACCTCCAACCTTTTGGTTAATAGCCAAGTGCACTCACCATTTGCACCACCTACAGGAGGAATCACCATTTTCTAATCTTTCTCTCTAAAATAAATAGAGAAGTGAATGCCAATGGAGCTGTGCGGGTCTGGAGTCCCAGCAGCTTTGTAGAGGACCTTGTCGCAGGGGCCTGGATCTGATGGTGGCCTCAGGCCTCCCCTTGGGGTGTATAGTCCAAGGAAGAAAGCAAAAGGCAGAGGAACCCCCCTAACTACCTGGACAGAGAGAGTCATACACTCGGACAATGGACCGTGTGAGCAGTCACCTGCTGCCCACGTGGGGTGCACCACAACCCCACAGCCTAGTAGTTGTTGTTGTTGTTATGTGCCATCGTGCCTACTAGAGTGGACCGCAAAAGACGAAAGCGGATGCTCATGAAAATGCTGGAGAGATCGCCAAGCAAAAATGAGCATGTCCAGGAAGGTTGTGATTGTGATCTCAAAGGCAGGAAGAGGCGGAGGGCACCAGGCCGTTGAGGTGGATGGGGTTTGTGTCTTTAGGAGGATTGTTGAGATGGCAAACACTGTACTACTGAAAACACAGGCAGTAACTGTGCCCTGTGTGAGGCGAATGTCAGTGATGCGCGGTCCACTCACCGGCTGCCATCACCTCTTCTGCTCGCCCCTCTGCCTGCGATTCCCTGCGCCTGACGTGGGGATCGCAGAGCGGAGGAGGGCTGCCAGCACGACTCTGCACAGCGAGCTCGTGAGAAAGCATCACGCTGCGCTGTGAGACCCTCTGCTTCTCCTAATTAATTAGGGGCCAAGTGACAGACGGGGTAATTATTTTTTCTCGCACAAGCAGTTGTGCTAAGAGCCTCGTGCTGCCTCTGAAGTGGTTCTGGCAGCCAGGAGTGTGGGCTGAGCCTGGAGGTCCTGAGTGCAGCCCCTCCCTGAGGCAGCTCCAGGGCCTGGCTCTCTCTGATACCCTGGGCAATGCCTCAGGCAACCAGCTGGACAAGAAGACAACTTCGTGGATGGGAAGGCAGCTGCACTTTGGCTCTTCTCTGCTCAGGCCAGTCCCAGATGAGACGTGCTTTAGTTCAGCCACACCAAAGCCATCTTTAAAGATGGCAGGGGGAGTGTGAGGAGCTTGGTAACTGACCCCAGCTCTGGACTGAGAGCAGCTGTCCTTATCCCTAGTCTGTGGCTAGCTGTGGGCCTTCTTGTCTTCCTGGAGCACGTGTGTCACTCTCCGCCCTCCTCTGTGGCTGCATTATGAGTCCGGACACAGAGGCCAGGCCCAGCACTGACAGAGGCTGGGGACAGGCATCATGGAGACACACCTTGGGGGGACAGACCTTGAGGGGACAGGTTGTAGGGACATGCCTGGATGAACACATCTTGTGGGGACAGAACTCATGGGGACACACCTTGTGGGGACATGCCTCAGGGGAGCAGCCCTCACGGAGACACGGCTCACAGGGACACATCTTAGAGGGACAGACCTTGTGGGGATAGATTTCATGGGAACATACCTTGCAGGGACATGCCTCAGGGGACAGACCTTACAGGGACATACCTTGGGGGACAGACATTGTGGGGGATAGGCTTAGAAGGGCTGGGGTTCACAGGGCAGTTCACAAAGATGCTACACAGGGTACCACGCTCCTGCTGTCCACTCTTAGCTGCAGGAGCAAATTTGTAAGAGAAACACTCAGGGCTGTGCAGGGAATGGTACTTGGGGCCTGATGAACCCTTGGTAGGGCCTCAGGACCTTACAGGCTGGGGAACCACTAAGCAACGTGAAATGCAGGTTAAGCTAAGCGCTGGGGGCATCTCTCCTGCAAACCTGCTGCACAACTTGGGGTGGAACACAAGCTTTAGCACAGGGAGGAAAGTTCGAGCCCGAAAGGAGGAGAAAGGAGCCAAAAGGCTGCAAAGCCACCCAACATGGGGCAAGTTCAAGCCCCTGCCGCCCCCGCGAGGTTCTGCTGTTTCTGAGGTTCCCGGACTGTGCACCGAGGGAGAGATACCATGTTCTCCTGTGACTTCGAGACGCAAACACCAGGGTGCCTGATGTCCCTGCTCTGACATTCATGCCCATGATGACTAGTGAGAAGGTACACCCAGACCACCCCCTCAGCCCATTGCTCAGGCCCTGGGAGCTGCGGGCCACGGGTACATCCCATCTCAAATCCTGCCCCAAAGCTCCTTTTGAAACTTAATGGAGTTACCTTGGTGGCTGAGTGGGGCTGGGCTGCCCCCTGGTGGCGTGTGGCTGGGGCGGCAGCTCAGAGACCCCTGGAGATGCCCCACCCACAGGCAGCTGCTCCCAGGACACTGGGGACTGAGCCATATTTCAGGAAGCCATGGGGCAGGCAGCAGTGACGCCGAGCTTACCCACTCTAGGCCGTGTAGCGATTTGTAGGCACCAGAGGGGAAACATGGACAGGTCCCAACAGTGGCCCAGGCCGTGATGTCCAGTGGCCTCCACAGCCTTGCGGTGACCCCTGAAGGCAGCCTGAGATCCCTGAGAGGATATAGCTGTGGGGAATGGGGGGTGGCAAAGCCTCTCACCATTCTTCCAGCAGGAGTAGCACACTCAGGGAGGACTGTGAAACTCTCCAGCCCCCAGGCCAAGGGGACAAGCCCTGGTGCAGCGTTACCTCTGTCCCTGGGAGGCCCTCCACTGCTAACCCGGGTCCCACAGTTTGGTCAGTCCACCCCTCCTATGCATCCTATACAAACATGAGGGCTCAGTGTGCAGGTTTGGGACCATGGGCATCCAAGCCAGATCTGGGCTCAAGGGCTGGCTCTGCCACTTCCAGGTTTGAGAGACTTTTCTGAGCCCCAGTTTCCACAGCTACAAAATGGAGAAACAGCTTCTTCATCATCTGGTTGTGGGTATAGACTATATTAATACATGGAGCGTGCTTGGGACAGTGCCTGGCACACAGGACCTGAAAACAAGCACCCAGTGGTGTTCATTTAAGAAGTAGCCTCACATGCACTCTGGTGCCACAGGGCATCATGATGGACCTTTGTGGGGGACATGGCTCCCTCCGTGTGAGCAATGGGGGAGGAGGAAGGAGGAAGGTCTGCTCAGGGCTCCCCATGGAGCTCTATCCCACTGGAGCTCTGCCCTGGAGGTCTGAGGATAAAGCGATGACTTGGAGCTGCCCGGGAAGCAGCAGTCAAGAAATCAGATGTCCTACTGCACTGGGCAAATCTGCTGCAAATGACTTCTTTAAAGTATTAAGGAGCAAAGATGTCACTTTGAAGACTGAGGTGCACCTAACCCAACCTACGGTGCTTTCAATAGATTCATACGCGTGTGAAAGCTGAACACCGAATAAGGAAGACCAAAGAAGAGTTGATGCTTTTCAATTGTGGTGCTGGCAAAGAATACTGAAAATACCACGGACTGCCAGAAGAAGGAACAAATCTGTCCTGGTAGAAGTGCAGCCAGGATGCTCCTTAGAAGTGAGAATGGCCAGGCTTCGCCTCACCTACTTTGGTCATGTGGTCAGAATGGACCATTCACTGGAGAAGGATCTCATGCTTGGTAAAGTGGAGGGTCAGCAAAATGGGGAAGACCCTCAACAAGATGGACTGACACAGTGGCCGCAATGATGGGTTCAAACACAGCAAGGATTGTGAGGATGGCGCAGGACCGGGCAAGGTTTCATTCTGTTGCACATAGCGCCACTATGAGTTGGAGCCAACTGGATGGCATCTAACAACAAGACATGCCCTAAAGGCTGATCCTGTAAAGATGGAGGAATATTTGTCCTGGGGAAGGATAGGCCAGCATTGGCAGGGCATGTACGTCCAGTGCAAACTGCCAGCTCCAGGAGAGGGCCCTGGGCACAGAACTCTGCTCCACAAGCTGGGAGGTGGCCACGCTGGGCTTTCTGAGTTCAGAGCCTATCTTCTCGATGCTTCCATAGTGCTGTCACGGGGCCGTCTCACAAGGCCAGACAAGATTCTAGATACCTGCTCCCACCCCCGACCTGCTCCATCCCCACAAGGGCCAGTTATCAATTCACTGCCTCTCAGCTCCAAGGCCAACTTCTCTGCTTGGCTCTGTGATACTGGAGCTGGACCCTGCGAACACTTTTCCTTTACCAGCAGTACAACGCTAGGTTTTGTCAGCTGGGGTGTTGGAGAGACCCTTTGGTAGACAGGGACTTCTCTTCCTGATTCTAGCATGCCTATCTTAACCTCCTGGGGTGTGGCTACTGGTGGGGGACCCAGCATGTCACTCTCCAGTGAGATCCTCCTGCACCTCAGGGGTGGTCCTCCACCTACTTCCTCCTGTTATCAAGGGGCAGCCACCTGGACCCTAAGGGCACAAAATGCTTCTGAGAAGGTGCAGGTGTCCCCAAGGCAATATGGTGTCACAGTCACAGGGTGGCTTCTGGAATCAGACAAGCTGGATGCGAGTGCCAGTTGGCCAGGTTATTAGCCACGGGGGCACAGGAAGTTGACTGAGCCTCTATTGGTGTTGTTGTTGTTATGTGCTGTCAAGCCAGACCCGACTCATAGCAACCCCTCTTTGGGTTTCCGAGGTGGTATCACTACGGAAGTAGATTGCCAACCTTCTTTCTGAGGAGTGGCTGGTGGGTTTGAACTGCCAGCCTTCTGGTTAGCAGTCAAATGCCTTAGGCACTGTACTACCAGAGCTCCTTGAACTTCTTTAAACTTCCATTTTCTCATCAGTAAAATGGAAGTCATGACAATCCTACCTTATGGGGCTGCTAAGAGGACCAGGTGAGGTAATGGGTGAGGGCAGGTCTCAGAAGACCCTTCCTGTCCCTCAAACCTTCCTTGGAGACAGTGAGGGTCCAGAGGGCACTCCCCAATACCTCGTATGTGGAGCCATCAGAGCAGCAGAGCACCCCATGTCCCTGACGCTGGTCCAGGACCCAGTCACCTTCATACTGGTCACCATTCCTGGGAACACAGACACAGTCTGCCCTCAGGCTGGGGGACGCTCTGCCAAGGTTGGGAGGAGTGCAAGGGCCTGCATGGGGAGCTCTCAGGCCTGGGGACGCTCTGCTGGGGTTGGGGGGACGGGCCTGCACAGAGCAGCCAGGTGGCCTCATGATTCAGACCTGTCCTACCGACAGGAACTCAGCACGCGCCTCCCAGGGGCCGAGGCAAAAATAGGCCTGAGCAGATGGCCCAAGGAGACCGACTGTGCCTGGCCTGGCTGGAGAGCAAGAGCATGACCTTGAGGCTCCCGGGGCCAGCCGAGGCTGACAGGCTGTGGTCCCAGCAGGGAATGGGACTGCGCAGTCTGTTTAGATGCGGCTTCCTCTTGCTCCCTCCTGATGTACAGAGTGTGACAGTGCTAGCAAAATTCGGTAAGGACGATGGGAAAGAAAAAAGGTGAATCTGCACATTGCAATGGCAGGGTTCACATAGGAGAAACCACCTTAGGAATTAAAAAAGCCTGTTTCAAAAGGCCAACACTGTGCCAGGGGAAGAAGACCTGTGACCACCAGTGTGTCACTGCTTTGTCACTCCAGCTCAGGGCTGCTCCCTGCTTCCTGCCTTTACAAGACTGCCTTCCTTCACAAGCGTTTTATGTAGGGGAGGGAAGAGCATAGTGGATTTTCTCTGTTAACACACAAATGATCAATTCCATTAAATAAGGGAGAAATGATAGAATAAGGACAAAAACTCAGAAGTAGTTTAACGGCCAGTGTTTAACAGGCTATGTGTGCGTATTGGGGGGAGGGGTGACCAAGTTGTCCTATTTGCACCTTGTGGGCCTGGTGCTGGTGAGCTAGCTCAGTGGCTATCGCTGCCCCTCGCCTGCCGGTCCCTGTGGGCCCTGATGCATCTCACCCGCTTCTCACCTGAAGAGCATCTGCCCGTGCCCATGCTTCTTGTGGTTGTGAAATGCGCCCTGGTACGCCTGTCCGTCCCGGTCCACCAGGAGCCCATGGCCTAGAGGAAGAACCGGAGATCAGCTTCTTGTCGTGCCCCTTTTAGGGATGGGCCTGCTCCTCCCAGAACAAGGGGTGGGTGAGGAGAAGCTTTGGCACCCCTCCAGGAGCTAGGTTGCCCTTGCAGGTGGGACTGCCCAGGGGAGGCCCTGGGTACCACCCACACTGCCCAGGATGGGGACTGGCAGCCCAGCACCCAGAGCCAACACATGATGACAACCAGAGTGGCCGTGAAAGTGACTCCTGGGTCTCAGGCTCTCAGTGAGGGCAGGGGACTGGTGCTGGTGGGTACAGTGGTTAAGCTGCTAACCTAAAGGTTGGCGGCTTGAACCCATCAGCAGCTCTGAGGGAGAAAAGACCTGGTGATTTGCTTCTCTAAAGATGATAGCCCTTGAAACCCTATGGGGCAGTTCTCACTTGGGGTCAGTGTAAGTGGGAACCATCTCAATGGCACCCAACAATCACCACCGCCTACAGTTGAGACTGAACATGCTCTGTGCGTGACTGTGATGACGCGATTGTGCAATTGTTTGCTTGTTTGTCTACAGGGTCACAGGAAATCTCCACTTCACAAAGAGTGAATGATCTGCTCACAGGACTCAGGTCTCAAAGACCAGGGGAGTGAATGAGCACATGCCTTTGTAAAATTGCTTGGCATTTTCGGAGCGCAGATGCTTTGGGATTACATTGGTGTCCCCACTTCTAAACATAAGCACAAACAGGGCAAAAAAAAGGCGGCAGCATCCATACCTCACATGGTATGACTATCTCCTCACTCCTTGGCTGCAGGTAGTCTTTAAGGAGCACTGAGCCCTTAGCCCTTCAGCTGCTAGCAACTGCCCCCTGGCTGAGGCCTGAGTGGGGCACTGGGCAGAAGGTCTGCAGGGAGGGCTCTCCCAAGTTTGGGGTGGAGTCTCCTCCCAGCAAGGGACAGTGTCTCCTGGGAATCTGGCTCCCTGATTTGCTTTGACCCACAGGACATGGAGAAGAAGTGCCTCTGTAGGACTCTCTCCTGAACCAGGGCCTTGAGGGTCTACAGGTCCTGCCCTTGCTCCCCGGGACCATCTGGCCCCAGCCAAGCTGCCACCTGCAGTGTAGGAGGGATACCCAGGTGAGGACAGAGACTTGCCCACCAGATCCCAGGCATCTGCTGACCCACAAGACTGTGAGCAGGAACAAAATGGCGGTTGTGTTAAGCAACTGAGTGGGTGGTTTGTTACTCAGCAGCAGCTGATGGATATAAGGACATGTGTCAGAGGGTACAGTGGATCCGACTGTGCAGGGCATGCACCTGACAGGGCCCGGCACACTGGGCTGAGATGGGCATGGTCCTGGGCTGAGAGGGGAGGACAAGTGATTGGGCTCCCTGTGCCAACCTCAATGTCTGACAGACTGGATCAGGGGTTCCCCCAATGAGTGACAGGTTCCAACCCAGCTGGGTGGAGTCAGAACTTCAGAGAGGGGTGTGGTAGACAGATTTCCCTCTACTATTCATTATTGATTGAGTTATGTCCCTCCAAGTATATGTTGAATTTCTGGCCCTTATACCTACGGATAAGGAACTCTGGTGATGCAGTGGTTAAGGCATTTGGCTGCTAACCAAAAGGTCAGTGCTTTGATCCCACCAGCCACTCCATGGAAGGAAGATGGGGCAGTCTGCTTCTGTAAAGATTTACAGCCTTGGAAACCCAATGGTGGTTGCTATGAGTCGGAATCGACTCGATGGCAGTGAGTTTTTTGAGTACCTATAGACAGTATCCTATCTGTAAACAGGAATTTTCACTTGTTATGTTAATGAGGTCATACCAGAGTAGGCAGGGTCTTAAACCTAATCACTTCTGAGTGTGACTAGACAGAACAGACACAGAGACACACACGGGGGAAGACGGATGGCATGAGGATCATCCACAGCCAAGGACCAAGGAAGGCCCTGGGCTATCGACAAGGAAGGAATTGACATGGCTGAAACCCTGATTTGGACTTTAAGCCTCCAGGTGGTGAGAAAATAAGCCACCCACTTGTGGTACTTGTGTTAAGCAGCACAAAACAGCAGCAACAACAAAACCACTTGCCACTGACTTTGACTGACGGCAACCCCCTATGTATCAGAGTGGGGCTGGGCTCATGGTGTTTTCAGTGGCTGAGTTTTCAGAAGCAGATTGCCAGCCTTTCTTCTGAGGTGCCTCCAGGTGGACTTGACCGTCATCCTTTCAGGTAGCAGCAGAGTGCATTCGCCACCTGCGTCACCCAGGGCCTCCCCAGCAGATTCAGCCCCTCGGCACGCAGACACCTGCCAGCACTCAGGGAGCACCCAGGGGCTCCTGGCAACAGACCTTCTCTGACTCCGTGTGAGAATGCCCCTTCGTAGCGCCCGCCAGCTCCATACTCCATGACGCCGTGTCCATGAGGCTCACCCAGCATGAACTGCCCAGAGTAGGTGTTCTCTGGGGGCAGACAAGGAGGAAAGGGACAGTATTTCAGGTCACCATGCTTCCTGGGTCCCCAGAGTGACAACAATGAGCCCATCTCTCCCCCAATCAGTGTGACCACAAGCCCGTTTCAGAACAGATGACAACATCTCCTTTTATTATTTCCTCTGGTCAATGGTGGAGACAGTGACAAGGTGGCACCCTCCCTCCTGGTTACTGCAGGAGGTGCTGGGCTCTTTTCCCCTGACAACAGGCAGGTGTAGACTAGGGGGCTGGGGGGCTGGAGCTGGACTGCCTGGGCTTGCTCCCAGCCTGGTCAGGGCGAGGTTCTTTAAACACCAGCTCAGAAAGCTGAGCCCAAGAGAAAAGTTCTCCTTTGAGAATTTATGCCAAGTACTTGGAAAGGAGGGTCTTTAGATCCTGAGGCAGCCCCTGCTATGTGGCCCGGGCCCTGCCAGAAACATTTTCTTATCTGCCTCCCCCACTGCCCATGCAACTTGACTAACATCTCTTTAAAGGAAAAAGGAAACATTGTAACTTTGAATTGCTACATCTTTATTCCAAAAAAACCTTAGGGAAACTAATATTTCCTTTCAGAGCATTACTCAACTTGGACCTCACAGCACCCATGCTGTGCTGGGCACTGTGTGGCATCCTGGGCACCCTGGCTGAAGCCAACTATGCCCAGCCCACACCCACCCAAGCTGGCACGCTGCAGTCATGAGACCTGCTGTGGGAAGCAGAGGTTCCACCCACATTTACCACAGAAACACCTCTGTACCCTTCACAAGTGAGCTGCCAACTCGCATCAGCGACAATTTGTGAGCACTGAACTGCTTACTCAGGTCCCCACGCTACCTGACAAGGCCCAGTGGCGGCGTCCTTCCCCCGTGATCTCTCCGTGCATGAACTCGCCTTCGTAGTAACTCCCATCTTTAAATAGCAGTTTCCCATGACCTAGTCAGAGACACCCTCAGGTAAAATCACAGAGATTGGAGGTGGCCACTTGTGAAACCCCTCAAAGCTCTCGGAGAGAAGTGCTTGGCATCACTGCTCTAAGATTCTTGTGCCCGGCTCTGTCCGTCATCATCATCACATGCTCTCCACATGCTCATCACGTGTTCCACATTTACCAAGAAGGGGGTTTTCAATCCCCTTCAAGAAAAACATACTACCAAGCGCCCCACTCTGCTAGAAGAGCCATACGGCCTGTAAACCCCGGGAGAGTGCGTTCCAATCATCTCACCTTGGTCGCCCAGGAGACAGGAGGAGAGAGGGTCTGATGGACACAGGGACATACTTAAAAAGGGGCCTCCTCTACCCCACCTGGCTCAGCTGCACGCCCTCCCGCCGGGCAAGAGGAAAAGAACTGTGGATTCCCACATAAAAATGAGAAACATATGTTCAACAAAATCACTACGATAAAAGTTAAAAGGTTAAAAATGTAGAATGTTCTTATATTTGTCAACAGATAGAGAAAGAGGTCCTGCGAGTAAAGACCAGCAGACCTGCGAAATGGTGTGGGCAGAAGAGCCACTGACAGACGGTACTGTGGGCGCCACGTGCGACAGGCTGCCCAGTGCTCACAGCATGTGCCCCACGGGCGCCTAACTCTCTACTTTCTTTCCTCTGGTGCTTGGATTCTCTACAAGACTTGGCATGGGGGCCGTCCAGTTGATTCTGCCTCAAGGCAACCCCGGGTGTGGGACAATAGAACTCTACGCCATAGGTTTGTTTTTTTTCCTAAATTATGATTGGGGTGAAAGTTTACAGAGCAAATTCATTTTCCATTTAACAGTTCATACACAGTATGTTGCATGACATTGACTACAGTCCCTACAGTGTAACAGTTCTCTTCCCACTTCCTCCCTGTGGTTACCTTTTCTGTGTGTCCTCCTGCCCTGTACATTCCTGCCCCCTGAGCTATCTCCCTATGCAAATGCCGTCCTTTCAATCTCCCATGGTGAGTTTTCTAAGGAGTGCACCTCCCTGGTGGGAATATGCACCTCACATGCCTGTCTATTATTTAGCTGGAAGCCACAGGAGTGTTTAATTCTAGGTCTGAAGGGCGACTAGGGACCATAATCTTGGGGTTTTTCCTGGCTGATTTTTCAGAAGTAGCTTGCCAGGCCTTTCTTCCCAGGTGCCTCTCAGTAGACTCAAACCACCAACGCTCCAGTTACTAGTCAAGAGCAAATCATTTGTGCCACCCAAGGACAGCCTTTTTATATTCCATTTTCACTTCAGAATAGGACTAGAGCTCCAGGGAGGATTTCCTAGTTGCAGCTGTGGGGGACACCATCACTGCCACTGGGCCACCACATGCAGTGAGTTAGGAATGGGCTGTCACTGGCTTCAACTTGACCGTGTGCACCATACAGCCCCTGGCCAGTCCGCAGACCCTAGTCTGCAGGTGTGGTTATGTGTTACCTTCTGTGCAGTGCCACTGGCTGTCCTGAGCCCCGAGGAGCCAGATTAGCCAGCTGCGAGGTGGCAGATGCAGGAAGAGACCAAGGTTTTCTTACCATGCTTCTTTCCTCCTTTCCAGTTGCCTTCATATCGAAAGAAAGAATTGGCATATACGTAGGTGCCGTAACCTGAATGTGGAGAAGAGGCACACAGTGAGCACGGGAAACAGACAGGCACAGGGGAGCATGTCTACCCATGAGGACCCCCAGAGGCAGCACCAACAGGGAGCGGGTAGCTTTTGGGGAACCATTAAAGGTGTCTGTTCCCTTGGCCTCCGGTTGTCTCCAGTACAGCTGGCCGAAGGCTAAGTCAGGCCTCTGTGGGGGTTTCCTGGTTCCTGTGCATTCATTCATTCCTGCGCTCACTCATGCCACAGGTACAGACGGACACTGTTATGGATTGAATTGTGTCCCCCCCAAAATATGTTAATGAGCACTGGTAGTGCAGAGGTTAAGTGCTCAGCTGTTAACCAAAAGGTCAGCGGTTCAAACCCCAGCTGTTCCATGGGAGAAAGATGTGGCAGTCTGCGTCCCTAAATATTAACAGCCTTGGAAATACTATGGGGCAGTTCTAATCTCTCCTATAGGGTCACTATGAATTGGGATTGACTCAATGGCAATGGGTTTTTGAAATATACGTTAGAATACTAACCTCTATACCTATGGGTGGAGCGCTGGTAGCTTAGTGCCTAAGGCACTTGACTGCTAACCAGAAGGCTGGTGGTTCAAACCCTTGGAAGGAAGATGGGGCAATCTACCTCTGCAGTGATACTGCCTCAGAAACCCAAGGAGGGGTCGCTATGAGTCAGGTCCGACTCGAAGGCATATAACTATAACAACAACAACATACCTATGGGTATAATCCAATTGGGGAAAAGGGTTTTTTTTTGTTATGTAAATGAGGCCATGCCAATATGGAGAGTATTGTGGTTACCTAGTGCCGCTCTGGTAAGAATATACCACAAATGGGATGGTCTTAACAAACAGGACTTTATTCTCTCAAAATTTGAAGGTTTTAAGTCCAAGTTCCAAGTGCCAGGCTTTAGGGGCTGTGTGAAAGCTCCTCGACCTTGGGCTTCAGCTCTGCGTCTTGCTCCCGGCCCACTGAAGCCAGAGGCATCTCTTCACTCAGGCTCTTCACTGGCTGCTGAGGCTAACAAGCCCAAGGTCAACAAATAAAATGGCACAGTCCCGATGTTACCAAAGCACATGGCAGGCCATTAACTCAAGTCCATTGTAAGTCCCAAGGTTAGCAGAGCATAGCAGGCTGCTGAACATCGACACAGCTACACGCAGGGTTCAAGTGTGCCATAAGGTAGAGACTATTTCCAAAGCTTCTCCTTAAATACAGGAAGCAGACCACAGCCCAAAGGCAGCTACTCAACTGCTTGTGGTAGATTCCACCATGGTGTTGGTTGCCAGTCTCATCATGGGGAATAACTACCACCAGCTGCCCAGCCACTCAACCAGGCCCAGCCAAGTTGACATACAAATTTAACTACCACAGAGAGTATGTCTTAAACCAATCACTTTTCAGATGCAAAAAGAGTACATCAGGCACAGGTGCAGGTACAGATAGGGGGAGACTGATGCCACGTGGAAATCCACGTGAAGATGCCATGTGAAGGAACCGAGGAACAGCAGCTGATGAGACAGTTCATTCCCCTACAGCCACTGCTGCTATTCTTATGGTTTTCACAGCCAGTTTTTTCAGAAGTAGATCATCATGTCCTTCTCAGTATGTCTTAGTCTGGAAGCTCTGCTGAAATCTGTCCAGCGTGGGTGACCCTGCTGGTATTAGAAATACAGATGGCCTCCAGCCTCACAGAAACACGCAAGCCACGACAGTATGGCAAACTGACAGAACATTGCAAGATTGACCCTGAAGTCAATCGCAACACTGTCAGTGATAGGATACTATCCATATGCCTATAAAGAAGACCAGCTAATATGACTATTATTCAAATTCATGTGCCAATAACTAAAACCAAAGATGAATATATTGAAGGTTTTTTTTTTTTTTTAGCAACTTTTGCAGTCCGAAATTGATCAAACATGCAATCAAAATGGATTGATAATATTGGTGATTGCAATGCAAAATGGGAAACCTAGAAGGATCGGTAGTTAGAAAATACAGCCTTAGTGATAGAAATGACGCAGGAGATCGCATGATAGATTCTTGCAAAACCACCTTATTCACTAGAAATATATTTTTTTTCAATAACATAAATGTAACTATACATGTGGACTTTGTCAGATTGAATACTCATGAATCAAATCAACTACATCTGTGGAAAGAGATGATGGAAAAGCTCATGAGTCAGAACCAGGCCAGGGGCTGACTGCAGAACAGACCATCAGTTGCTCACATGCAAGTTCAAGCTGAAGCTGAAGGAAATTGAAACAAGTCCACGAGAGCTGAAGTACAATCTTGAGTATATCCCACCTGAATTTAGAGACCACCTCAAGAGTAGATTTGACACACCAAACACTAATGATCCAAGACCAGATAAGTTGTGGGATGACATAAAGGACTTCATACATGCAGATAACAAAAGGTCTTTAAAAAGATATGAAAGAAAGGTCCAGAATGGATGTCAGAAGAGACTCTGCAACTTTCTTTTGAACAAGAGTAGATAAAACAAATGAAGAAGTGATGAAGTATAGGAGCTGAACAGAAGATTTCAAAGGGTGGCTTGAGAAGACAAAAGTATTATAACGAAATGTGCAAAGACCTGGAGTTAGAAAACCTAAAGGGAAGGACACACCAAGCATTTCTCAAGCTACAAGAATGGAAAAAAAAAAAAATTCAAGCCTTGAGTTGCAATATTGAAGGTGTCTATGGGCAAAATATTGAATGATGCAGGAAACATCAAAAAAGATGGAAGGAATACATAATTACTGTACCAACAAGAATTGGCCCACATTCAACCATTTCTGGAAGTAGCGTATGATCAAGAACCAATGGTACTGAAGGAAGAAATCCAAGCTGCATTAAAGGCATTAGTGAAAAAATAAGGCCACAGGAATTGAAGGAATACCAACTGAGAAGTTTCAAACAAACGATGCAACACTGGAAGAAGTGCTCAGTCATCTCTGCCAAGAAATTTGAAAGCAGCTACCTGGCTCACTGACTGGAAGAGATTCATATTCGTGCCCTTTCCAAAGAAAGGTGATCCAATGGAATGCATAAATCATTGAACAGTATCTTTACTATCACGTGCAAGTAAAATTATGCTGAAGATAATTAAAAAATGGTTGCAGCAGTGTATCAACAGGGAACTGCCAGAAATTCTAGCTGGATTCAGATGAGAACATGGAAAGAAGGATATAATTGCTGATATCAGATGGATCCTGGCTGAAAGCAGAGAATACCAGAAAGTTGTTTAATTGTGGTTTATTGACTATGCAAAGGCATTCAACTGTGGATCATAACAAATTATGGATAACACTGTAAAGAATGAGAATTCCAGAACACTTAATTGTGTTCATGTATAACCTGCACATAGACCAAGACACAGTTAAATTGAACAGAACAGGAGGATACTATGTGGTTTAAAATCAGGAAAGGTGTGAGTCAGGGTTGTCTTTCTCCATGTTTATTTAATCTGTATGCTGAGCAAATAATCCAAGAACCTGGACTATATGAACACAGTATTAGGATTGGAGGAAAGCTCATTAACAACCTGTAATATGCAGATGACATAACCTTGCCTGCTAAAAGTGAAGAGGACTTGGAGCACTTACTGATGAAGATCAAAGACTACAGCCTTCAGTATGGATTATACCTTAACACAAAGAAAATAAAAATACTCACAAATGGACCAACAAACAATATCATGATAAAACCAAGAAAACCAGACTCACTGCCACTGAGTCAATTCCAACTCATTGTGGTCCTCATAGGGTTTCCAAGGCAGACTGCCTCATCTTTCTCCCACAAAGTGGCTGGTGGGTTCAAACTACAGAGCTTTTGGTTAGCAGTCGAATGCCTTAACCACAACATCACCAGAGCTCCTCTGTAAATGGAGAAAATATTGAAGTTGTCAAGGATTTCATTTTACTTGGATGTATAATCAATGCCCATAAAAGCAACAGTCGAAATAAAACGGCATATAGCATTGGGCAAATTTGCTGCAAAAGACCTCTTTAAAGTGTTAAAAAGCAAAGATGTTACCTTGAGGACTAAAGTGCACCTAACCCGTGCCATGGTATTTTCAATCACCTCATATGCAAGTGAAAGCTGGACAAGGAAGAATGAAGAATTGATGCCTTTGAATTATGGTGTTGGCAAAGAATACTGAATATACTATGGGCTGCCAGAAGAATGAACAAATCTGTACAGCCAGAATTCTCCTTAGAAGGAAGGATGGTGATACTTTGTCCATGATGATGTTACTTTGGACATTATCAGAAAGGACCAGTCCCAGAGGGTATCATGCTTGGTAAAGTAGAAGGTTAGAAAAAACAAGGAAGACCCTTGTCTTAGTTCTCTAGTGTTGCTGTAACAGAAACACCACAAGTGGATGCCTTTAGCAAACAAATGTATTCTCTTACAGTTTAGGAGGCTAGAAATCTGAGTTCAAAGCACCAGGTGGAGGCCCAACATTGGGCTTCAGCTGTGCCTCATGTTCCAGGCCCACTGGAGCAAGCTGGAGGCTTCTGACTCATGCAACTGTTGGCTGCTGAAGTTGAGGAATCTAAGGTCAGCAGGTAAAACAGCAGATCGTTGGCTCACAGGCTGTGCAGGCAACAATCTCAAGATTGGCAGCCAACATGGCAGGTCACTGGTTCAAGTCTAGGAACTGGAGATGAACACTCAACCAAATGCAGGATTCTTTCCATATATACTGGAAACAGACCACACCCCAAAGGCAACTCTCCTTCAACTGATTAATTGCTCACAGCAGATTCCACTGTGGAGGTGGAATCTCATCATGGGGAATAACTACATCCAACTGCCAAGCCACTCAAAATTACGGCCCAGCCAATTTAACACACAACAGCCCAGTTAACTACCACAACCCTCCACGAGATGGGTTGACACAGTGGCTTTAACAATGGACTCAAACAACTGTGAGGGTGGTGCAGGACTGGACAGTGTTTTGATCTGTAATATATAGGGTCACTATGAGTCAGAATTTACTCGATGGCACCTAACGACAACAAAACAGAGATGGTGCCTTGAATTTGGACTTCTAGCCTCCTGAACTGTGAGAAAATAAATTTCTATTTGTTAAGGCCACCTTCTTGTGGTATTTCTGTTTTAGTAGTACTAAGAAACTAAGAGTTTATGCCTTTGAATTGTGGTGTTGGTGAAGAATACTGAAAATACCACAGATTGCCAGAAGAATGAACAAATCCGTCCTGGAAGAAGTGCAGCCAGAATGCTCCTTGGAAGCAAGAATGGCCAGACCTTGTTGCATCTACTTTGGTCATACTGTCGGAAGGGCCCATTCACTAGAGAAGCATATCATGCTTGGTAAAGTAGAGGGTCAGCAGAATAGGGGAAGACCCTCAACAAGATGGACTGACATAGTGGCTGCAATGATGGGCTCAAACATAGTTAAGGATTACGAACATGGAGCAGGACTGTGCAGTGTCTCATTCTGTTGTACATGGGGTTGCTTTGAGTTGGAGCCGACTCGACGGCACCTAAAAAGAAACTAAGACGTGCACCTGCTTGACGCCAGGCTCCAGGGATGTAGAAGACAGACTCAGTGGGTTAAGGCCAGGTTGGAATGATTGCAGGGTCCTCTGAAAGTAGAGGTCATGGGGGAGGTGGTAGGTAGGGGAGCATCTGGTGGGAAGGATGGGGAACATTCCTGAGAGGAGATATTTGAGCTGAGCTGAGCTGAGAAGGAGGAGTCCTGGGAACATGAGGAAGGAGGAGCAGGGTTAGCCAAATAGAGCTGGAGGAGGGAGAGTCCTGGGAGCAAGAGCAGCATCTATAAGGGAACAGAGGGGGAAGGGTTCCTGCAGTAGGGGGTGGGGGGGTATTGTCGGGAGGTGGTGTGCCTAGTACCAGTGGTAAGAAACTGGGCAGGCCCTTGTTGGGTACAAGTATGGATTGTGATGGTGACAGGAGGCCACTGAAGGGTTCCAGCAGGGGAATAGGAAGGTTTGGGTTTTAGAGAACACTGTGGCAGGGTATGGGGTGGTTGTAGGGAGCTGTTTCCCTGCGCCCCCATCCTGTCTTCAGGTCTGCAAGCATCATGAAAGCAGGGTTGAGTTTTCCACAGCCTCCCTCAGGACCTGGAATGCAGCAGGTGCCCAGAAAGCATCTACTGAGTGAGTGGACTAGAGTTTTCTGTGATCAAAACTAAGGGTTTTCCCTGATTACCCTGATTTCATAGATGTTTATTCTGCTTTCAATAAAGATGATTTGTTAAATGTGTAACTTGTAAGTCTTTGCTCATAGACCAGGTCACAAATTTTTTTAAACGATCCACCATCAAACAAGGTGCCCTGATTTCTGGGTCCTGCCCTTTGGGGACTCTGTGGGCCACTCTTGCTCCAGTCCCTTCTCTGCCAGAACATGCCCTTAGAGCATCTTGGTAACTGAGACAGGAAGGTCTGTCTCTCAAGGCCTAGGTACCCTCCTTGGTTTCAGGCCAACCCACTTGCAGCCCATGATCCCTTGATTCACCCCAGCCCTCTGCCGCCCCCTTCTGAACCACTTGCTGCATCCTACAATTCCATGTATACCACTGTCAGCTCTACTCTGCCAGAGCCACTGCTTTCAAGGCACAACTTGGGGTGGGGGTATAAGGAAGTGTGGAGGGCAGGAGAGCATGGGGTCACTAGAGGCTTCGTTATCTGCCATAAATTAACGTCAGGTTCTGACTGGAGATATTGACATGAACTCATTCCAGTTTTGTTTCTTTGATTTTGTGAATAGTTCCTGTCAATAACTTTTGAAAAGCTCGTCCAAGCATTCCCAGACAGCACCAAGTAAGTGCCTGTCCTAACTCATCATTCTGGACTTCGGTTCCTCACCGAAACAATTGGTTGTTTGGGAGACCTCGATCTCTAACGCTGGTTCTGGTGCGCTATGCCCAGGAGCCCTCACCCACCTCTGCCTGGGGATAAGAGGCATTCCCTAAGACGGCATGAGTCGAGTCCCTTCCATGGCCAAGGGTCGATGAGGGCGGAAGGGCTCGAGGACGGGGCCTGAAAGCGAGGATGGCAAGAGCTTCTTTAGGGAGGGGGGCGCCTGGGCTGGTGCGAGCAGAGGCTGCGGGGAGGCGCGCGTCGGGGCGAGCCTGGGCCGAGAGACTGGGTGCCCGGGTTCCAGCCCTGACGCCATTACCGTCTCCTAGACTTCGACTTCCTAAACTGAAAAACTGAGGTTCGAGGGCCAGCGATCGCCCGAGACCCTCCTTTCCTCTTGAGTTTCCAGTGGAGGCCAAGTAGGGGAGCAGAACAGTCCGGCCCCCATCGCCCATGGGCCAGCCGGGCCCTGTAGTCGTTACCGTCCCGCGGCGGCCGCCCCTTCACGTCCTGGCGCGGAGAGCCGTAGTTTGAGGTCCTTGGGCGCGAGGCTGCCATCTTGCCACTAGAAGATTGCCTTGGCAACCAGAAGAGCCCTCTCCCATTGGCTTTCTGGTCGCGATGGGGCGTGACCGCAGGCGGTCAGGGGAGGACTTTGGGCGAAGAACAATCTCTGGAGCGGATATTTTATGGCCCGGAGCCGGCGGAAGCAACTGGGCCTGTGCGGCGCGGTAAGTTTCTAGCGTGGCGTCCCTTCCGCCGAGCAGCCTCCCTCCAACGGCCTCGCAGTCCCTACCGGAAACGGAAATGGTTGGAGTTTTAGGCCCCGCCTCGCGGCCATCTTGGAGGCCCGGAGGCGGCGCCGCGGCGGACGGAGCGGAAGTGCTGGCTGCAGCGTCCCGAGCCGAGGGAAGCGCGGCGCGCCGCCTGTCCCTGTCCTCCTTTCCGTGGCCCTGACGGGAACCGTGGCTCGGCCGCGGCGGCGCTGCGAGGTGCCAGTCGGGGCTGGGGCGGGGCGGGCCGGCCTGCCCCAGAGGGCGGCGTGGCGGCGGGTGACCGGCCGGGCCAGCGCCGCCGCCTCCTTCCGGGCTGTCAAGGCCGCGACCGGCTGCTTGCGGGGAGGCCGAGGGCCCGGGAGGTTTGAGGGCACGGTCACCTAGCGCTGTCGTGGACCCAGGGGCGCCGTGCTGACCACGCCCCCACCCGGCCCGCGCTGCTACCGGCGGGGGCAACCTGGGAAGGTGGACGGCCCAGCCCCGGGGCGGGGAGGGCAGCTTGGCCCGCCCGCGCTAGCAACTTTTCTTCCCCCCCGCACTCGGCAGGGGCATCTCAGGAAAGTTATCGGTTGCCCATTCTCAAATTCTCGGAGAATTGTAGTAGCTTTGTTATGGAGATTTCGTCTCCTCACTCCTATAACCTTGTTAAGTATCAGGGTTTACCTATAGAATATCAGTATTAAAGGTTCATGATGAATTTATTGAACAGGCTGACAGGGACAGGTTAAATGGTTTCATATTATATTTTGATAGTATTCCAAATTAAGGTAAATTCTAAATCGTCCAGGTCGACTTTTTACTGCGTCCATGTCCCTGCTGACAAAGTTAACATTTGCTCCCCCTGAGGGGGGGGGGGTTGATGGGACGGGACTGCCTTTATTTTGAGAAACACTTGAGTGGGCCCTTTTCATTTTAACGTCATGATGGAGACGGGCTATTCGTCCTGGAAGTTTGAAGTCATTTATTCTTAGTTGAGTTTTCACTTCATAGTAATGTGTAGGATGGAGTGGCCGGTATGAATGAATGACTGAGACAATCAGTTAGAGCCTTTGAGGCGCCAGGCCCGTCCCTGCCAGAGCCCCCAACCCATGGAGGGAGCGTCTGCAGTTCAGGTCACTGCCAGGAGGAGGGAGGGGCCAAGGCCGGAATGTGGCATGGGGAAGGAGCAGATAAGATCTGGACAGAGATATGAAGGTTGGTGATGACTTGGGGGAGTGTTCTCAAGACCAGTGTCTTCGGTGGCACTTAGGGTGGTGGAAGAGGAAAGGAAAGGCAGACCCCCTGTGCCAGGCAGAAGAGTTTGTACTTCATCCTTTGGGATAATGTTTACTATTTTAGGAATGGTTGAGAAATAAATGAAAGCAGTGGACCCTAAAAAGATGCACATGCTGTTTTGCTGGAAGTTCAGGCATGTTTAAAAAGCCTCTGCTTGGAATGGTTTTTATTTTGCTTTTTTGCTTTCATTCTTGTGTGACTGAGCGTAAAGCAGATGATAACTTGCTTGTCTGCTACTTAGCAGGCACTTCTAGGCGGTAGGGCCCAGCAGTGGACCAAACAGATAAGGTTCCTTTCATAAGGAGCTTACATTCTAGTAGGAGGAAACAGGGAAATAAAGCAGAAAAAACTCTCTGCGTTGTTGCATTAAATAAATGTGATGTAACGTAAGGGGCTGAGTGATTGGTCTGGAGGACCTCCCTGAGCGAGTGCCTTTAGACTGGGCAAAGAGGAGAGGATTGCAGCTAGGCAGCTGGTAAGGAGGCTGTGATCCCTGATCCAGAACAAGTTTGACATGTTTGAGAGCAGCCTGGAGGTTGACACACCCATGGTGCCAGGCTCCCAGTGGCAGCTCTGGTGCTGAGTGCTTAGCCTGGGTTAGCCCAGTCAGTCCAAAGAAGGCTTTGAGGAAGACACTAAAGGCGCTTGTGTCTCCGTCACAGATTGGCACCTGAGGCGCTAAGTAGCTCACCCAAGTCATACCACTAGACAATGGCAGAGAGAGCAGCAGTTAGATTCCAGAGCTCATGTTCTGAATTAAGCAGCACTGCCTGGGTAGTATTGTGTACCTACTGGTGGTGAGTTAAGCATGATGGAGAGCCACATTTCAATGTGCACATTCAGTGAGTCAGATGATGCCTTTCTGGGGGGCTTTCCACACATGCAACTTGAAAGGGTGAGAACAGTGTTAAACACAGCTCTTCAGGACATGCTTTGATGGGCTAGGCAGATACTTTTGTTCTAATGTTTTTTCCTATTGACTCAACTCAAGTAAAAGTGTTTAACAGTAAATGCTAGTCAGAAGGAAGTAAAATATGAGAAAGTGGTGGATGAAGGTTATTACCCACATACTTCTGCTGGGCTGGCTTTGGTGTGAATAGGGCGGGTTCTAGATCACTGAGTCTAACTTAGCCCTTTTTGATTAAGGGTCTCTCCCCAGTTGAATATAAAATTGCACCCCCTCAAATAAAGTGGAGGTGGGGATGGGTGGGGCACTGGAGGTAGTAGTTCAGTTCTTCAATGAAGTCACATCTTCAGTTTGCACAGGCAGCAGGAGAGCAAAGGGCGAGTCTTTGTTTCCTTGCCATGATTCCTGGCTCTCTGCACAAGTGGGTCCTGGAAGTGGAGTGTCGGGGCCTCAGTGACGCTTTGTAACGAGGACTCACTTGGTGGTGTGCAGTTCTGCCTCATCAGAAGTCTTACTTTGAAATTGCAGTTGGAAAGTTTATACACTTGAAACCCAGGCTTGAGTCACGGAGCTGGCTGCCTTCATTCTAAGAGGATTTTCTGAGATTCTCATCAGTGAGGGCTGTAAGTGGGCCCAGGTTCAAATTCCAGCCCCATTGTGACCATGTGGATGGACCAGACAGCTCTTGAACTTCGTGAACCTCAGTTTTGTCATCTGTGATTGGGAACCTGCCCCAGGTTGCTATGGAATGGCATGCTTGGTCCCAAGTGGGTGGCACTTAATCAAGTGTCACTTTATAAATGAGGAAACTGAGGCCAGTTTGGTTGGAGGGTTTGCCGGAGGTTTCAGCCATCAGCACGGGGGAACTTAAAACCATACTTGAAACTGGAGTCTCTCCCTGCTCAGCAGCAGTCACAGCAGGCGGTCCTGAGGAGGCCTGTTCTCCTGGGGGAGACTGTATGACAGACTGGGCACAGGGGAGCTTTGCCCTGGCTCCTTCACGTGCTTCAGGGGCTGCTGGTGCCTCTCCTTACAGGAGTGGTGCATGACGGCGCCACTTGTCAGCAGTGCCTTTCCCAAGAACTGCGAGTCCTATGAATCTAGCCTACTCGGGACTCAGGGGCCCCAGTGTGCCCAGTGGAAGCAGCCTGTGGTCGGCTAGATCTGGCTCTTGCAAGCATGGCTGCCCAGGGGGCAGATCAGGCAGGTGCTCAAGCTGTCTAAGCCCTATCGCTCCTTTGTGAGATGGGATTAGTCATGCCTGCCTCCCTTGGTTATTTAGAAATTAAGTGAGAGAATGTGTGCAGTGACCCTGGCACCTGGGTTCTCACAGAATCACAGCGTCGGGTTGGGATGGGAGCAGGTAGAATTATCTCTTTTATAGATAGCAAATTGAGGCACAGATAAACTGACTAACTAGAATCTATAGGATATTTTTCTATTGAATGCCAGGGATTAAATTAATAGAACAGATAAGCTAACCTTGGGGGAAAATATTTTAAAACACTGCTGCTGTTAACTAGAGTTCCTGGGTGGGTGGACAGTTAATGTTTTCCGCAGCCTTAACGAGAGGTTAGATGTTTGAGTGCACACAGTGGCACCTTGGAAGAAAGGCCTGGTGACTTACTTCTGAAAGCTGTCACTGGAGAGCCTGTGGAGCACAGTTCTACTCTGACACACGTCGGGTCCCTGTGAGTCAAGGTTGACTCAACGGCAATTGGTTGTTTTTAATTAAGCAACACACTGTTAAAGAAATAATGTATTTAGGAAGTGTTTTGAAGTTTGACAGATGTTGAGCTCTGAGCACACCTCTGCCCTAGGCCCTGGGGGCTGTGATGAGGGAGTCTTCAGCTTCAGGGGCTCCCAGATGGTGGAGGAATATGGCTAGCATGTAAATAGGGCCGTGCGGGGGTAGGGGGCAGTCCGTCCAGGAACCTGCAGAACCCAGAGGGGGAGAGTGCCCACTTTATTCCACCAAAGATTCAGGGGCCTGAGCAGGAAGGGATACAGCTGGGGGTTGAGATGGGCATTCCAGACAGGCCAGAATTTACAGGGGAGTAAGGGCCAGGCTCCTGCTGCATTGGGCCCATGGAGTGCTCAGCAGGACAGAGGCTGAGGGCAGAGTTCAGGTCAGGAAGCCCAGTTGCCCTGTCTGGGAGTTTGGACCTTACCTGTGAAGGCAGCAGGGTGTGTGCAGAGTAGAGGCAGAGGTTACCCAGCCACCTGTGTGGAGGCTGTGCTTGGAGGAGGTGCTACAGGCTAGGCATGTGGCGAGATGTCCCCATATGTGGGGAGCTACAGTAGCATAGTGGCTAAGGCACTTGACTGCTAACCAGAAGGCTGGTGGTTCAAATCCACCAGCCACTCCTCGGAAGGAAGGTTGGGCAATCCTACTTCCGTAGTGATACTGCCTCGGAAACCCAAGGAGGGGTCGCTATGAGTCGGGGCCGACTCGACGGCAAATAACAACAACAACAACAACAACAGTTGATGTGGTTATATGGATAGAGGACACAGTCTGTGACCATTGCATGTCCTTAGCTTGGGTTATGGGAGAGGAACAGCTCAGTCCCTGCACTAGAGGCATTGGCTCTGAGAGGAGGAGATGCCTTTTGTCCTGATGGGCTGGGTTAGATATGTCTGCTAGCAGCGTGGAGCGCAGCCTGGGCAATAGCCCAGCATAGGGTTCAGGGGAGCGGGCTATCTGGGGAAGTCCTGGGGAGCCAGCAGAAAGGTCCCCAGGAGAGGAGAGGTCAGACGGGCACAAAGGCTGGGAATGGGCCATGGAGTCTGACGGAGGGCAGGGCCTGGGGTTGGGGGTGGGTTTGGCATGTGAGGACTGGCTGGTAAGGTAGGGACAGAAATGTGTCCATGAGACTCAGTCCTCAGGAAGTCGTCATGACCTTGACAAGAGCAGTTCTAGGGTTGGAGGGGTGGGAGCCCTTGGGTTGCTGAGGTGACTGGGAGGATGGCCCTTGAGAGCAAGAGCTGTCCTGGCGCTGTTCGTATAGCACACTGTGCTGTCCTCCGTGCTCCAGAGTGTACCCGTGTGCCACTGCCCTTCCTGAACGGGTCATAGTGAACATACACACGGGAAAGAGAAGGGCATAGACAAGCTGGTTCTCACAGCCAACAGGGAACAGAAGCTGCTTGGCAGTAGTGGTGGAAACGGCAGGGTTCCAAGTTCTGGGGTGTTCTTATTTAATTAAAAAGTACTTTGTGTTTTCTTCATAGTTACAGAATGTCCGAAGGGGACAGTGTTGGTGATTCCGTCCACGGGAAGCCTTCTGTGGTGTACAGGTTTTTCACAAGACTTGGACAGGTGGGTGTGTTTATAGATGACCAGTGTAAATAGTCGACTGTTTAGAAAAGTGTTTTTACCATTGACTGTTGAGACATTTTGCTGAATGATATGTGTGCTAATGTACCCAGTAGAGAAATTAAGCAACATCTTGACTTAATAACCTTACATGTCTACGTTCAGTGGTGGCCTCTCCTTGCTGTGAACATGCACTCTTGGGGTTGCTGTTGAGGCCATATAGGAAAGCATTCAGGCTTGGGTGGCTACATACGGTCTCTGCCAGATGGTCTATGTGTTTGGTTTTTCACCATCTTTGAGAATGTAAGAGGTGGCATAGTGGGTAAGGCATTTGGCTGCTAACTAGAAGGTTGGTGGTTTAAACCCAGCAGCTGCTCCAGTAGAGGAAGATGAGGCAGCATGCTTCCATAAAGATTTACAGCCTTGGAAACCCAATTGGAATCGCTATGAGTCAGAATTGACTCAATGGCAGTGGGTTTCGTTTTTTGGTTTAAGAATGTAAAGACCACTTCTAGGTCCCAGATGGTACAGAGCCAGGCTGCGGTGGTCCCTACTCTGTCCAGGCACCTGTGCAGGCATGCTCACACCCTCCCAGCCCACACTGTGCACACACTGTTCTGGTATTGCTTACTGTATGTGAAGTCTCTGTGATTTGCAGGTACATGTGTCTGTGTCTTTGTGGTGGCTGTGTCCCATCACTGCCTTGGAGCTGATGTGGTCAGGGAGTCATGGTGCCACCACTCCAGAACAGGGGCTGTCTCCAGGTGCTGTTTGGTGTACCCTGGTGCTCTGTCCTGTTTCCATAAACCCCATTCACTTTTGGAAGGCACAGAGACAGCTGTCTATCGTCTTTGACACAGATGAAGAGCCTGCCTTAGGGGTGGAAACTGTCCCTGTCCACTGTGTTTTTGAACTTCAGTCCCAGAGGGAGAGTCTGACTAAGTCAGTGGCATAGTATGCTGATGTTTAGGCTCAGAACTAAAAATGTATTGTTTTTTAACTGAAATAGCATTTGGAAATCTATTGCTAGTTATTGAAGCTGAGTGGGTGGGTCTGGGCCCATATAAATATGGTCTTTTTTTATGAATGTTTGAAACTTTCCATAATTAAAATTGAGCACACACACCATTAAGGATTCCCTCAGTACACTCTGCAGCTGCTTTGGTGCCTGCTGTGCATGGGGCTTGGTGTTGCTAATGTCCTGGTTGTGGCAGGCAGGCTGTGAGCAGGGGCAGAGACAGTGCCCAGCACTGCAGGCAAGGCAGAGGGTGCTGTGGGAGAAAGGACTGGAGGGAGGGGGGCTTGAAAAGTCTCTGTAAATTAACCTGTGCTTCTTCCCCATGGTGATCCCTTGAAGCAAATGCCCTGGACCCATCTCTAGTGATCAACTGTTTGCTTTTTTAATTTTTAGTGTGATTTGGATGAAAGTTTACAGAGCAAATCCATTTTCCATACAGCAGCTCACATATACTTTGTCTCATAAGATTGACTGTAATTTCCCACAGTGCAATAGCTCTCTTCCCGCTTCCTCCCCATAGTTACCTTCTCTCTGTGTCCTTCACTCCCATGCACTCCTGCCTCTCAAGCTGTTTCCCTGTGCATACACAGCCCTTCTATTCTCCCATGATTGATCTTGCCAAGGAGTGTATCTACTTAATATAAATGTTTAGCTCATATGCCTCTTTTGTTTGGCTGGAAGCCACAGGAATGGGTTCAATTCCAGAACTGAAGGGCAGCTAGGGGCCAGTCTCAGTGGCTCCACCAGGCTCTATCAGACCAGTAAACCTGGTCCCTTTTTTTAAATGATTTTGAGTTTTGTTCCACATTGTTCTCCCACTCTATCCAGGATCCCCCGCTGAGTGGTTGACAGTGGTAGCTGGGCACCATCTAGTTCTTCTGGTCTCATAGGCTGAGGATCGCATGGTGTACCAGTTGCTTGGACTAATTTTTTCCATGCATCTTTAGTTTTCTTCATTCTTCTTTGCTCTGGATGAGGAAAGACCCATTGTTGCATCTAGATGGCTGCTTGCAAGCTTTTAGGATCCCATTTGCTACTCGCCAAAGTAGGATGTGGAATGATGTTTTTGTGTAGTATGTTATGGCGATTGAGCTTGATGTCCCCTGTGACCATGGTCCCGAGCCCACCAATGATCAACTGTTTTGTAATCTTATTTTTGGTTATGAAGTAAATCTGCCTCAGGAATTACTGCCAGTATATTTTGGATTAATTGCCATAACTGCCTCGTGCCAGTGGATGAATGTGTGTGTTTGTGTGTGTGTGTGAGAGAGAGATCTTGGTATTTTAATCAGTTCCTTTTCAAATAGAAAGCAAACTGAAGAAATGGTTTCTTGCACAATGTAGCAGAAAGCATACTTTTTAGCGTAGTGCAGTGTGCACAGTTAGATGTCTTTATAATAGATGTGAACTTGTGTCTCTAGATCTACCAGTCCTGGTTGGACAAGTCCACCCCTTACACAGCAGTACGGTGGGTTGTGACCCTGGGACTGAGCTTCGTCTACATGATCAGAGTTTACCTGTTGCAGGTAGGTGTGGTGAAGGGTGGTGCTTCACACAACCTTGTCTGAATGGGGGCTTGGCAGGGTGCTGGTGAGCCATTTATGAGGTCACAGGGAGAGCATAGGTGAGGCACTGAATTGAATCAGTGACTGGGTTTTCCTCAGCTGCGTCTAAGTGGCCCTTCAGGCAGTGACACCTTCTCAGGCTTTCCTGTGGTATTTGTTTATTTCCTAGTTGAGAAATACTTACATGGCATCTGCTTTCTAAGAGCAAACTCAGAAGAAGCAAATTCTTTGTAGACTTTGAGGGCCATTTGTTTCCTTATGTCCAAAGAAGGGCAGGGTAAAAACTTGTCCAGAGCGTTTTTGCTTTCTAGTGGGATACTCCCTCACTTAAAGAAAACACCTTCCTTCCTAATGCATCCAGGACTGGGGCAGACATCAGCCAACACATTTACTCCCTGCCCACTGTCCAGTGCTGTGGGAAATTCTCATTTGCAGGTCATGCCTCTGAGTGACCCTCCTCTGATGTAGTGTGACATGTAGGGGTGCACACTAGTTTAGTGTAAGGGTACTCGGTCTGTTCAGGTGCCAAGAGTAATGCTGAATTGACTGTCATTGGTTTTAGTTTTTTTTTTCTTTTTCTTTTCTTTGTTTTTTAATTAGAACTTGGTGCATTCTGTAATGGAAAGAATGACCTAGAAACCTTAATTTAGTTAGGGGAGGGGATACACTGCATAGGGTAGTTGCACTATGATCTAAATCAAGTTTATGCTGATTTGGTCCTGCAACAAGAAGATATATAGACATTAAATTATTTTATTCTTCACACCTAGTTTTTAATTGTGGGACTTAAAAAGTTTTTAAGGCTGCCAAGTCTCACCTTATGTGTGTGACACATTTGGTCACACAGTCCTGGTTTCTGCTGGATGAACTCAGGGCTCTTCCAGTGAAGCTGGTGGCCGTGCATGGGCCATGTGTGCCTGGCTGTCAGGGTGGCCGGTCCTTTGTGTCTGAGGGAGATGTGGCTTGCTTACATTCTAAGCCTCCCTCTTGACTCTGATTTTCCAGTTCTGGGTTTCCTCTGGACTGAGATGTGAACCCTCAGGTTTAGTGATGAGCGTTGTATGCTGGAGAGATTATCAGCCTTGGCATCACGTTTGGTAATCTTTCAGACTCAGCCAAGTGGTGTCATTTTTCAAGTGGATGTGCTTGCCCAAGGGGGGTTCTGAGCCTGCATGCACATCAGAACCTCTCAGGTGCTCCATCCTGCCCAACTGTGAGACAAGTCCCAGAGTGTATCCCTGGCTTGTGTATTTTGAGGGGCCTCTCCTTTTCTGGTGCCCCCTTCGGTCACTTGTGGTGGCTTCTGGTACTGCAGGCTCCTGACCAGGATGCTTGGAAATAAACTGTAAGCCCGGAAGCCCATTGTACTTCTTGGTCACCTAAGTTATAATCTGTCATAATCTACTTACATTGGGTTCGTTTTTAAGTCCAGTTAAAACAAAGTTGAGAGTTACCAGTGTGTGAACACATTGGTCCAGGTGGGGAAAGCTTGCTGCTGACCTGTGCTTCCTTCTCTTTCAGGGCTGGTACATTGTGACTTACGCCTTGGGAATCTACCACCTAAATCTTTTCATAGCTTTTCTTTCTCCAAAAGTGGATCCCTCCCTAATGGAAGATTCAGGTAGAGTAGAGGCCAGCTACTTGGTTCTCTTTACTTGGGGTGGGTTGTGTTTTTGTATATATTGCAGGATCGCTCAGTTTTCTCAAGAAACATTTGAAATCCAAACTTTTGAGGTTGATTAATATACTTAAAATGTTTGGGGATGAGGATAAATGTGTTTGTGAAATAACCTGTTATTTTTTATTTTGATGTTCTAAGTGCTGTACATATTAACTCCTAACAGCTGTGTGAGTTGAGTGTTTATGCTGTTGCCCCCTCTGCAGATGAGGAAACTGAGGCACACAGCAGTTAGTAACTTGCCCAAGCCACATGGCAGCTTAGCAATTTGAATCCAGCATCCTTGCCCCTGTTCTTTTTCCTGGGCAGCTGATGTGTCTCTGAGTACCCTTGAGACTCACCTGTGAGACGTCTTTCTTGCATGCCCAGGGTTCTTGGCAGTGCACCATGACTCCTGGGGCCCCAGGCTCCATTCAGCAGAGGACAGGGTTTCTGCCTGAGGACAGGGAGCTCATATGCTCTCAGTGCATTTCTGTTTGTGCCTTTGAGGATCACTTGCTCCTGGGTGGTACCAGGGCCAGTAAGGCTGACCCAGGATCGGAGGAAGCCCTTCAAGCAGGTATATCTGCTGTCCTTTGTGGTGAGCCCAGTTGAGCCCCTGCTGGGAGAGCCATGTCTGTTACAGAGTGTAAAAATGACGTAGGGGTGTCATTTAACCTCTAACTTCATGAGAAGAAGAATCAAGATCAATAGCTGAAGGTTGATTCCTATGAGGCAGAGGTCAGACATGCCTCCTCTCTCCAGCATTATTAACAATTCTGACACCAACTGTCCCTCCCATGACACTCTTCTCCTACTGGGGTTAATAATTCATTGTAGTGATCACATAAAACTCACAAACAATACTCAAAATTACGGGGTTTATTAGCTTACAGTTCAGGTTCAGGAACAACTCAGGACACGGTTCTTCCATCAGGACAGCTTCTCCTCCACTCTCCCCACAGGCAGGCCTCTTTCTCTGTCCCTTGGCTCCTCAGCTCTTCAGTCTCTCAGCTCCTGCCCTGCTGGGGCCAGTGTTAGAAAGTTGTTAGCCCACCAGTAAGTACCCGGAGGCACCCTGCTCCACCAGCAAACCTATTGCCTAAAGGCACTCAGCTTTCTTGCTCTGGGAAACCCACCGTGATGTCTCTTGCTGGTCTCTTAGTCCTGCTCCTACTGTTTCGCTACTAATGCTTCTCGCTACCTCCAATGTTACAGCTCTCTCTTGTCTCTGAGGTCTAGGAGGCTGTCAGCCCAGGAATCCCAGGTCCAAAAGGACAAGTGCCACCGTTAGTTCTTCTTTCTTGGTGGTAGTGAGATGCTCCCTCCTCTTGGATTGGCTCCCTTTAAGTCTAGCAGGATGGTAAAACTGGCCAATCACCTCATTAAGGGTCCATATACCTTATTGCATGGTCCCACCCCTGCAGAGTTGCAAGTACCTTATTTACATTAGTCTCCTTGGTGGGCAACAAGCTCCTTATTTGCATAGTCCCACCGAATCATTTGGAAGTTAAAGACTATGGCTGGAAGAGCTTGCTGAAAGTAAGGATGACTTGAAACACTTAGTGATGAAGACTGAAGAATACAAGTCTGCAGTATGGATCACATCTCAATGTAAAGAAAACAAAAATCCTCACAACTGGACCTATAAGCAGCATCACAATAAATGGAGAAAAGATTGAAGTTGTCAGAGACTTCACATTGCTTGGTTCTACAGTCGACACCAACAAAAGCAGGAGTCAGGACATCAGACGACGTGTAGCACTGGGCAAGTCGGCTGCGAAGAACCTCTTTCAAGTACTAAAGAGCAAAGATGTCTCCTTGAGGACTAAGATGCTCCTGACACAAGCCATGGTATTTTCAATCTCCTCGTATGCATGTGCGAGCTGGACAGTGAATGAGGAAGACCAAAGAAGAATTGATGCTTTTCAGTTGTGGTGCTGGTGAAGAATGCTGAAAGTACCGTGGACTGTTGAAAGAACTAACAAATCTGTCCTGGAGGAAGTATAGCTGGAATGCTCCTTGGAAGCGAGAATGGCCAGACTTCATCTCACCTACTTTGGTCATGTTGTCAGAAGAGACCATTCCCTGGACAAGGATGTCATGTTTGGTAAGGTGGAGGGTCAACAAAAAAGGGGAAGGCCCTCAACGAGATGGATTGACACAGTGGCTGCAGTGATGGGCTCAGGTATAGCAGGGATCGTGGAGCTGGCGTGGGACCAGGCGGTGTTTCATTCTGCTGTGCATAGGGTCGCTATGAGTCTGAGATGACTCAACACCTAACAACAACAACAACAACAGAAGAGCCATATTAAGTAGTTCTCTGCATCTCAGGGAGAAAATGAGTTCTGAGCCCATGATATTTTCTCAAGACTGTTTTTAAATTGTATGGTTTTTCTCTAGAATGTTTAATGAAAATAGTAAAGGAAACACAGCTAAGCCTGTTCATTGAGTGTTGCCATTGGGGAAAGAGAAAATATTAAGAGACCCCTTTTTGTTGGCTTTGGTTTCCATAGCTGTCCCAGGTGAGAGGAGAGCTGGCCACCCTTGCCCACAGGGCCTGCCCAATGCTCTCGAGAAAAAAATGCATGACCCTCTGGGCACTTGCTGCTATGTGCTTTCTATAAATGTTTGTGCCTGTACCTGTATGTGGTACATTTGACGTGTGTCTGAAGTCTGTGCGTAGTTGGGTTTTTTATGTGATCATTTAAAACATACGGTTCTTTTTAAAAAGAGATTCTAATATAACTCTTTAAAGAGTGAACTGGTTGGTAAATTCACTAGAGACCTCCATTTTTACCTTTTGTTGAACCAAAAAAAGAAACCAAACTCGCTGCCATTGAGTCGATTCCAACTCATAGTGACTCCCATTGGATTTCCAAAGCTGTAAATCTTTACAGAAGTTGATTGCCTCATCTTCCTCCTGCGGCACAGTTGGTGGGTTTGAACCATCAACTTTCTGGTTAGCAGCCAGATGCCTTCACCACTGTACCACCAGAGCTCCTGTAAGTTCACATTTCCACATATTAGGTCTACTGTGTCAAACGATTGTAGGACAGAGTGATGAGGTAGTGACAGAAATGCAGAGTGTGGGGCAGGGCCTTGTCTCAGACACTGTAATGCCTTTCAGATGATGGCCCTTCCTTGCCAACCAAGCAGAATGAGGAGTTCCGGCCCTTCATCCGAAGGCTGCCAGAGTTCAAATTTTGGTGAGTTAATTCTTAAAGACACTTACTTGTGCTCCAGTATGGCGGAAAAGACAGATTTGTGTTTTTTGATTAGCCAGCAATTTAGACTTCTCAAAAGAATGGGAGTTTTGTTGCATTTTGTGTACCTTTTTCTCTTTGTAAACCCTTAACCCATCTAGGATATGAGGCTGTGTGGGGCTGGGTACACACAGGTGATTGGGCACTCTGAGAGAGACCACAGCCTTGCAGTGAGCTCTCATTTGAAGTTCACAGCAACACTAAAAGCTGGCCAACAAGGTTTGTTCCCAGGGGTGACCAGGTACATCACAAATCTCAGCCTTAGGAAGCAGAGCCCATGGCCACTCTGTCTCTTCCCCTGGGGTCCCTCTCTTCTCTCTGCAGACTGGCCTGGTTGGCCCACTGTTTGTACAGCGTCCTAGTCATCAGGTGGAATGGCCTAGCTTTCTCAAGAGGCCTTGGGCCCAGCCATGCTGTGGTTCACCTGCAAGCAGGGTGCCAGTGTCTGCAGACAAAACTGCTCAGTGCAGCCTCTTAAGGAGGTCCTTTGCTGGAAGGGCTTTGCTCTGGGGAGGTGACTGGAGATGGCCCATTCTCCAGACACTGTGCAGGCACTGGCACTTGTGTGGGTGTTAGAACGCTAGTGTGAGTTCTGCAGGTGGAAAAAGATGAGGGGCACCTTTAGAGCAAGGACACACATGAACTGCCTATTGGTCCTTTGTCTGCTTGTCTTCTGCCCACTGTAAGAACATGGGCCCCACGAATCCATCTGTCTTGTCTCTGCATCCCCAGTCCCTGATGCATGGCAGAAGCCAAAAGTCTTTGTTAGATTAGTAAAAGTGGATGATGTGGGCACTCCTGGTGCTGCATTTGGTTGGGCGCTCAGTGGTCTTTGTAGAAGGAATGTTATGTGCTGGAACATGTTTGGAGCAGGGGCTGGTGGTTATGAGTGGGGGTAGGGTGAGTGTTTAGAGAGAGCGAATGGCAGGAGGGTACGTGAGACACCCAGGGTGAGACTGAGGGCCATGTGAGCCTGCAGAGGAACCTGGGCTTGTTCTGGAGGAGGGAGAGCCACAGAGGCTTTTCACTGCAGGGCAAGGTGTTTTAGGGTTCATCGGCAGCAGGATGGTATGTGCAGCGAGGTGGGGGGTGGCATCTGGTGGCTGCAGTGCAAGCAGGTCTGGGCCATGGCTTTCCCCCCACGTTTTCTCAGAATTGTGAGGTCAGCCACCTGCACTGCCCCCACTGGAGGTGTTGGACGTAAGTGTGAGGCTGGGCTTCCCTCAAAGAATAGTGGTCAGTGTGCAGACTGGCCTCACAGTGTGGGGTCAGGGTCAGGCCAGAGCTGCTGCTAAACGGGAAGTTCCTGTGGCTGGTGGTCTGGTTCTCCATGTGGTCCTGGCTGTTAGGGGACTAAAGATGATAGGCAAACATGTCTGCCCCTAGAGGAAACGTGCAGCCTTCTTTTTGGGTGTTTGTATTTGTGGGCTGTTTCAGGACAGCTGCGAGAGCCGAGTGATGGTCTGCAGCCAAGGCGGGCACGCGGGCAGCGCTAACCTGCCCCTCTCGTCTCAGGCATGCGGCCACCAAGGGCATCCTGGTGGCCATGGTCTGCACGTTCTTTGACGCCTTCAATGTGCCGGTGTTCTGGCCCATCCTGGTGATGTACTTCATCATGCTCTTCTGCATCACAATGAAGAGGCAGATAAAGGTAACCTGGGATGCACCAGAGCTGGATGGCAGCTGGCTTTCCTGCTGCCCAGTGCACGCTCAGAGGAGGGGGTGCTGGGTCTGTGAGCTGCTTCAGAGTAGGGAGTGATTGTCTGAGGTGCTTTAGGATGGGAGGGTGATGGTCTGTGAGGTGCTTTAGGATAGGGGGTGACAGTCTGTAAAGTACTTCAGGGTGGGGGTACCCTCAGGACCTGCTCGGTTGTGCAGAGGAGGTGGGATGGGCTTACCAAGGAACATGGCACACACCGTTATCAGTGGATGGCAGCCTGCTCTGCACCATTAAGTCTGTTAGCACGTGAACAGCTCTTTGAAACAGTTTTTTGGCAGCTGGCTATGAAAGTCCTAGTTGCTAGCTTAGTAACTCAGGTTTCCACACTATCTCAGTTCTAGTCCTTGAGACCTTGCTTTTGGCCTGATGGGTCGCAAGGCTCTGTCCTGCTAGAATTGCACTGTGGGGCAGTGACCAGCACCACTAGTGGGTTGTACTACCTCCCCTCCCCAGGTGTTTGCTTCCTGCCTCCTTCCATCAAGGAGCCACCTTACACCTACTGTCCCCAACAGTAGGCTCTGCTTTTCTCGTGCTGGAGGGTCTCTGGGCAAGTCATCTGGGGTTTTACTACACAAGTGGGCCTGACTGGTGTGGGTAGTGGGGACACTGGGCCATCATGTCATTCACTCATGGAGAGTGGTTCAGATTGAGAGTGGTTGGTGAGTAGTTCACATTTGGGGAAAATGTGCTTCTCTGGGACTGTTTTAAAACAACTCAATCTTTGTTTATGTTTATTTTCCCAGCACATGATAAAATACCGGTATATCCCATTCACACATGGCAAGAGGAAATACAAAGGGAAGGAAGATGTGGGGAAGACGTTTGCTAGTTAGAAGCTGGACTGAGTCTATCACTCGTATCCTGAGAACGGTTTTGAGCCATTGTAACAATGCCTTTTTTCTTCACATAAAGTAGTTGATTATGAGGGAGTTGAATTTTCTTTATAAAAAGGATCACTAATTATTCGTATCAGAAATAATCAGGTTCTGGAAGAAACTGGCATTTAAACCAAATTGCATCGATTAATTTTTCAGTGACGTTCAAGTGTGTCAAACTGGCAGAACCCAGGAGGGGAGATGGGCTGTGTGGGGGCTGGCAAGTGGGTGGGGGCGGCAGCCTCACCCCAGTCCTGGGCACCCTGCAAGGCCGTGAGCATGGGGTAGGCCTGTGTGAAGGGACCCACATTCTTCAGGACACCTGTGGGCAGGGTCTGTACACCCTAGGCCACGTCAGACCTCTTCGCAGGAGGGTGATGCTCGCCTCACGTCGCCTGTCTGGAAGAGCCTCACAAATTAAAGATGACTTCCACTACTGTGGGTTTCATGCCAGTTTCCCAATCCCACCTCACCAACGGTGTTCAGATCGACCTCCATCACGACGACTCAAAACTTCGTTCTTACTACCGTGATTGCTTCTGGGGGCCTGGAGTGACAAATATATATATTATATTTTAATCGTTTGAGATTATTTTGACATATTTCTTTAATATGTAAAGAGTTGTTTTGTTTTTGATTAAATTTGTTTTCAGGCAACAGCCCCTATAAGAAAACAACAAAACCGGTGACATCAGACTGGTTCTGTGGGTTATAACACAGCTTCTCATTGTCTTTGGGGGAGCTAGAACTCTGACCTGCATGTCAACTTTTTTCAGTGATAAAAAAGCAAACAAACTCTTGAACATTTTACTAAGTGACTTTTTAATCCAACTTTATTAAAGACAGTGTCCCCTTTCCTGTGTTAGTCTCTCTCTGAAACACAGCTCCCGGCATGAGATGGCCCAGCTGAGTGAGTGCTTGCTCTCTGCAAGCTGCTACTGACAGAGGCAGCAAACGCACTTGTTGCAGGGCTGCATGCTGGATGCTGGATGCAAGCTCCCAAGCTTCTGTCTGCCGTCTGATTTTAGACATAGAAGGTGCCAAATGCCTGGGTCCTTTACCAGTTTCTGTGTCTCTGAATTGAATTCCTCTTGTTTTTCATGGCACTTCGTATACCTGCCCCGATGTAAAAGTTCTTGTTGAAATGATACTCCAACTGGATGTTAGTTACCACCCTGCAGCACTTGGGATGCTCACACTGGGGCGCTTTTGTTTTCAGAATAGTCTAGAAGTACTTTGTTCGCCACAATTCTCCCAGTAACTGCCCTCACATGGAGAGCGTGCTCTTGGTCAGAGCGTCGGTGTGGACTTGAACAGGCAACAGATCAGCCTTCCGTAGCAGTGGAAAGCAGCCCTCTAGACTCTTCCGACAGACCTGCCCTTTGGAAAGTGCTGCTCACTATGGTTGCTGCTAATCGTGGCCCATCTCTGGCACACTGGCCTTTATTAACCTAGGAACATGGGTTATTTCTGTTCCTGAACAGCTGTGTCCTACCCAACAGAAATGAAGACTGGCTGGTGCCACTCGCCCTCAAGTGGTACTGCTGGCTGGGCTCCTGGCCTGGTGACCTGGCCAGCAGGACATTAGGTCTGGATGAGGGCTGACGGGCATTGTTACACTGCATGCTTTTTGAAGACCTCCCCATTACACCCCATGTTCTTCATGTGCCACTTTTCCATGGAACTAGTTTCCTCTGGATGGCTAGGTCCCATCTCTGGCCCAAGTTAAACAGTTTGAAAAACCTGAAAAATAGAAATCAAAAAGGCATGTAGCATGGGGTTTAGAAGTGCTGCTCTGCCATGGAGACGGGTGGAGCTGCCTTGCTTCCCGGGGCCTCTGATAGTATTGGTTCATGAAGCCACTTCTCAGTCCTCGGAGCATCCAGGTGGGGTGAGGGTGAGTAGTTGGTTAAACTAAACTCAAACTCACTGCCATCAAGTCGATGCCAACTCAGTGACCACCATTGGGTTCCCAAAGAGGTAAATCTTTACGGAAGTAGACTGCCCCATCTTCATTTCGTGCAGCCATTGGTGGGTTTGAACTGCCAACCTGATTAGCAATCTTGGTTAGGTATTAAGAAAACACCAACCTCAAGCTGGCTATGCCAGCACTGAGTAGGAGCCATGGCCTATCAAGCTCAGCTGTGAGCCCACTGGGTGGTGTGCAGGAGGAGACCCCACATTACACCCAGCCAGATGCAAGCCTGTCTGCTGACAGTGAGGTGTGTGCCAGCGTTGCAATGTGGAAACATAGTGACCCTGCTTTCCTCCTGCTTGTGCTTAACTATACACCAGGTCCCGGGCACATGGGCTCCTGCTGCCCGGCCCCTGTCCAGGCTGGAGGAGATGCTGGTTTGGGGCTGACCTGCTACCCACGTGCTGTCTAAAGCGGGTTACTACATTCTGTGTACTTACAGTTCACAGCCACCAATGTGAGCCTGCTACTGGAATCATCTCATAAGTGAATACATTTTTGTTCTGGCCTGATTCTTGAAATTAATTCTCAACTGGAGAGGTGAGGAAGGGAAGGAAACCTAAAACTTCATCCAAATAAGTGAAATTCTTGAAGAATTGTCTTTAAATTGTGTTAAAACTGAAGGGGTGGGGGTGTCCTCTCATTCTCACCTTGCTGGATTCTCTCAGCCCCGGGGTCTAGCAAGCAGAGCCTGTGCACCTAACACTGCCCTGTGTACCTGGTCTGTAGCCTCCAGCCAATCTCTACTTTGCAGCACCTGAGCTTTGCTGCACAGTCTTGTGTAAAGATAGAGTTTCATCATTTCTGTGAGTAAAGTTGATCGTGAGGGCATGTTTTTCTCTCTCGACACTGATGATGTCAAATTCCATCTGGGTGCCTCCAGGTGGGACTAGCGGTAGTGCCGCAAGTAAACCAGCTTCTGGGGTGGGAACTTCTCCCTGCAGAGAGGGCACTCCGTCTGCAAAAGAAAAGGGACTGCACTGGGTGGCCAGCTCAGCCCACCCCCTGCCACAGGGAGGGAGTGCATGGCATCTCCCTGCCATCCTTTCCATACCTGGGGCCCAGCCAACCCAGGAAACATGCTTCATTCCAAAGACCAGCACTCCCCCACTTCTCTCCTGATGCCCTGGCTTTTCTGGGTCTAAGGAGGCCCTGCCCTAACTAGTCAACAGACATCTCTGCTTTCTTCCATTTAAGACAAAACAGCTCCAGGCATTTTTCCAGCAGCCTCAAATGCAAAGGCTTTAGCCCAGGTGGAGTCAGGGTGATGGGTGTGAGGAGCAGGTCCTAATCTTTGCTGCCTCAGATGTGTGAGGACAAAGGTTATACAGGCACGCACACACACAAACACAAGGTGGACATGGGCAGAGGCAGGTCCTGAGCGGCCTCTGGTCTTCAGACCTGATCCCTGCTGCAGGTGTCCCATCCCCCGGTTTTGTGCCCACCTGACTGCCCCTAGGCCCCCAGATGTGCTTATGTGGGACCTGAGCTGGCTGTGCTGCAACCGGGAGCTCCAGGTTCTAACTGAGCTAGATGATCTGGCCCCTTATTTCTAGATTGTTCTATTAGTACAACAGTCTGTTCTGCCTGTAGGAGGTAGACAAACAGGTTTTATTCTGTGCAGACTACACAGGTCTCACGACCTGTCATGCCCAGCAGAACCCTGTAAACAGCCTCTGAGGGACTCAGAGAGTGAATGCATACGTTCTTTGCCGGGGTCGTCATGCCCAGGATGCCATCCCTCTAAGCCTGAGAGGTGCCTTGGGCACTCAGGTGCACTGAGATGCAGAGCCCTTCGTGGGCAACAAGAACACAAAGGTGGCATGAGGCTAGGGGTGCAGAACTGGTGTGTGGTCACCGGGCTCTCTCCATCCACCACTCACCTTCCAGGGGTGGAAACGGCTGTGCCAGCTGCTGCAGCAGCTTCTCTTCAACAGAGCCTCCATGTGCAACTTGAGAATGCCAACTGTGGCCCCCCATCTGACTCCCTGGGAGCTTTGGAAAGATCCCCACCCCTCTGTGTCATGGGGGTTCAGAGGCAGGCTCCAGGAACTCATTCTGCCCTGTGCCTGCCGTGCCCACCTTGGTGTTGCACCATTCAGTGATGCACTCCCAGCAGAAGAGGTGCCCACAGGGTGTGACCGTTGTGTGCCGGCGCTCCTCCAGGCACAGTGTACACAGGGGGCCTTTGGCAGTAGTTCGCTCCTCCACATGGCTCCTAGGGGCGAGGCAGAGTGGAAGTGAGAACCACCGTCCTCAGTCCACTCTGCCCCCCACCAGCCACATACCTGCGGCATGACAGGCGACGGTGCAGCCTCCACTCCTTCCTTGCCCGCTGCCTCTGCTTGAAGCTGTACAGCTGGACCCCAATGGAGAGCACTAGATGTAGCAGGGAGATGGCCCCCAGCACCTTATAGGTGGCACGAGCCCTGAGCTCATCTCCAGGTGGGTGGTGGGTACGGAGCTGCACAAGATGGGTGGCCTGTCAGGACTGCTGGAGGGTGGGGCTTCTGCACATCCAGCCTCCATATCCACTTGATGACCATCCAGCCCCCGCTGGCACCCAGCACCTCCCAGGCAGTCCTCCCCTGCAGCTGGGTGTGGGCTCCCAGAAACACCCCTGCAGGAGGCTGGGGCTGCCATCAAGTATAGAAGGCCACATATGTGGGGTAGGGAGAGGGGAGACAGCCCCCACACATGGCCAGGTATGACTGTGCTGGGGGAGTGATGTGGTGTGAGCAGCAATGGGCTCTCCACTGTTGTAGAGAAGCTGCTAACACTACAGGGAGGGCCACACAGAGAAGTACTTGGGCCCCTTGAGGTCATGTGGGTTTTGGTGCTCAGCAGGAGGAGGGTCAGAGACAGACACTTGGGGCACCAGTGTGGAAGGTGACAGGGCCAGAAGCCAGCTGGCTGCCAGGGAGCAAGTGTTTGGAAGTGGTGTCCAGGGACTGCCCCTTGGCAACCCCAACGTCAGAGGGTGAGTTGACGAAGAGGCAAAGCAGCCTGGGAATGTACACCCAGAAGTGTGGAGAGGTGCTCTGTCAAAGCCCAACTCAGCCAAGCTGCTGGTAACTTGTGAGACAGATGTCCCATTTTAGCACATGGTCCTCAGGGACCCTCGGTTTCCGGCCTTAGAGCCAGTGATGCATGTGACCCTGGGTCTCCCAGGGCTGTCTCCTAGTGAGTGCGAAAGGAAGCCATTATGAAGAACAAGGACAAGGCAGCAGGGCTGGGGGAGGGACAGATGAGAAATGGGTGCAGGGCAGGAGGACCAGGATGATGCTGGCATTGTGGAGACATCCTGTGGCACTTTATATGGACCTTCAGGAAGACATCCACTGACACCTAATCCTGAGACTGGTGCCAGTTCTGGTGCAGGAAGCTGGACATAGGCATGGCCAGGGCAGAACAGTGGGGAAGGCAGTGGGTATGGCTGGGCCTGGGCTCAAGGCTGTACTCCAGCACTGTCTGGGTGACCCAGGACAAGCTGCTTGCTGCCACCCCGACCCTGAGCTGTGAATGAACCATCCCTGGCTTGTGTGCAGGGGTCCCTTGGGAAGGCAGGGCCCAGGGCTTCCCCAGGGCACATAATGGCACTGACAGAGGATAGCCATGCTGGCTGCAGGGAGAACATCTGCTCCACCATGCAGAAATCGGGCTTCTTATGTCTTTTAGCAAACTATAACCAAACCAGACTCTTTCCTAAGCAGAGGGCTGACTCCAGCTTGAAGTGGAGTGAGTGCTGTATAGTTATGGGGCTGACCACCCGGGTCCGGAGAGCCAGCACCACAAAAATGAGCCAAAGCTGAGTGGCAGGGTCACAGGTAGCCAGGCTGTACTTACATAAGTGATGTCTGTGAGCCTCTTGGCCAAGTGGTAGAAGGCACCGCTGATGTAGAACCAGGCGATATGCAGCCGCCGTAGGCAGGTGAGGCCCCACGAGAAGACGTGCAGTGCCTGCAGGAGTGCCTTCCGCTGCGGCTCACTGAGGCGGGCTATGTGCCGGTGCACCCAGAGTCGCATGCCTGCCCGGCTGCGTGCACCTGACCCCATGCTGCCATCAGCCTGTAGCTCATGCTCCAGGTGGAGCAGTGCCTTGTCCAGCACATAGGGCAGGCCGGTGTGCAGCACGATGAGCACACTGCGGCGGAGCCACGAGGGTACCCGGCGTCGGGACGGGTCCACCTGGACTAGGCCCACATACTCCTCTCCAAGGGTCTGGTAGCCTGGAGGGGCGGACACTTCATGAAGGACCAGGCAGTCCCACAAGTTGGATCACTCCCCACCCATCCCCTTGCTGCTGTCTCTGGGTTCTGCTTTAGCACCATTTCTAACTCGATGCTTCCCTACGGACTGCCCTGCCTTCACGTCTTTCCTCAGTCTCATCTTGATTAGCAGTCGGCCATATCTCATGCCTGTCGGGCCACGGTGCCCACTTCTCCCAGAACAGCCAAGTCCCCACAAAGCCCCTGCCCCAGGCCTCTCCTCGCACTTTCCCTTCACTCCCCGCAGCCATAGTGCTACCTTGATGGTCCTTGACGTGAGGACACGTCTCTCAGGCCTCCTAACTGGTGTTTGCCGATTGGAAGGTGCTCTTCCAAAAGACACAGCCAACTGCACCCTGTGTTCTCTTCTCTAGAGCACTCAGTGCTTCTAGGACTCCATGCAATGGTGTCCCTTACTGCTTATCGTCCATCTCCCACCCACAGTGTGAGCCCCTGACAGCAGGACTCACTGGAGGCCGCGTGTGGAGGACAGGGCAGGTTAGAGGCATGGTGGCCTGTGGTGAAGGCTGAGTGGGAGCTTACAACACTGAGGCCTCGCCCACCAGCTCTCTCACTAGAAGACAACTGTGAGTCTTGGCCCCAGACCCCAAATTCTGCAGGACCTTGCTGTCCTCACACCCCTCTGCCTGGCATCCCCTGTGCCACTCACCCACCCAAAGCCCTTCACTCCAAGGTCCCACAGGGGCCTACCTGCCAGGGTGGTGAGGCTAAAATAGGCTAGGTTAGAGAGCAGCTCAATCTCTTTCCTCCATTCCAGCCACTTCCTTGCACCTGAGGGAAGAACCAGACAAGGCAATCACTAAGGTATATGGGAGGGTCTAAGGATTGAGGACCATTCCCCCCGTCAAAACAAATCTGCAGCTGCCAGGCCCAGTAAGGCTTAGCTCTGCCCTGGGCTCTGAGGTGCCCTGAGCCACACCCTCACCCTCCCACTGGCCTCCTGCTGGTACGTCGATCTCTTCTGCTTTTGGTCTCTACCTGCCTCAGCCTCATCTGAGGCCTGAGCCACTGAGAGTATCTTCTGGGCATCTCCCCATCTGAAGCTACCTCCCTTGCTAGGACTGCCCTGAAGAGCCATGTGAAAAGACAACCCACTGCTCTCATGGAGAGCACAGCCCTTGAGACCAGCAGGTACAACCCAGCCCTCAAACCCCCAAGTTGTGCAACTTTAAACAACTTACTCTCTCCAGAACCTCAATTTTCCCCTGGATGGTGCAAATGGTTAAGTGCTCAGCTGCTAACTAAAAGGCTGGAAGTTCAACTCTACCCAGAGGCACTTGTGAAGAAAGGCCTGTTGACCCACTTCTGAAATGACATGACTACTGAAAACACTATACAGCAGAGTTCTACCCTTGATACACGAGGTTGCCATGAGGCAGGATCAACTCGACAGCAATTGGTAAATAGGAAATAATAAGTCTGACCTCAGTGAGTTGATTTGAGGATTAAATGGGTTTATGTTCATATAAAACACCAAGGACAAGTAAGTGCTAAACAAACAACCTACTGCCACTGAGTCAATTCTGACACACAGCAACTCTATAGGACAAAGAACTGACCCAGAGGGTCTGTACAGAAGCAGGCTGTCTCATCTCTCTTCTGCGAAGGGGCTGGTGTGTCCAAACCACTGACGTTTTGGTTAGCAGCTAAATGTTTTAAGCACTGTGCCACCAGAGCTCCCAACCACAAAAATGGCTGTGCAAGTTAAGTGTTAAATGTTTGTAAAATAAATACGCAGTCTAACAATTGTTTTGGTTGTGTGACCCTCCCACGCAAAACCTGCTGGCGACCACCAGCCTGGCATTCAGGACCCTACTGAGCATCCCCGGCCTCCACCCTTCAGCTGCTACACAAAGGCCCTGAAACTTGACCAGCAGCAGTCTTCCCGCCTGTGGCTCTTTTTCTGTTGCCAGGAAGACTCTCACCCCGACTCCGACGCTGGGACTCCATGAAAACAGGCTTCCCTATAAAGTGATGCCCCCTGCCCCCCATGTGCAAAGACTGCGTCCACTTCTTTATCCACTACTGTCCTGGGCAATCCCTGCGTGCACTTCCCGCTGAGGTCATCCTAGGGAGCTGACCCGGGGCGGGGGCAGAGGTGAAAGGTGAGACCCTGGCTCCTGGGTCTGGCCCAGACAGGGCTCGCGGATGGGCAAAGTGACCGGCCTGCCACAACCAAGTGCCGTTCCCCATACCGCGGACCAACGGGGTAACAACTGCGAAAGTAACAGCGACGCTGCCACACAGGCAACAACACTTCCTGGGCTACGATGAGGCATTTAGACACTTAATTTAACAAGTTCCTACAGGCAAGGCAGGAACCACCGCAGCAAGGCGGAGCCGGGGCAACCCGAGAGGCCCAGAAGCAGGGTCTCAGCGCAGCCGTCTGCCCTCACCCGCCAAGCTGTGCAAGGCGCCGCTGGCTGCGCTTCGCAGCCCGCCGCGGTAATAGTCGTCCTTCTGCGCGGCGCGGACCACCTCTGGAGGGCTGGCTGCGGCCCCGGCCATAGCTCCGGGTCACAAGGCCCCAATATCCGAAACGACGGCAGCCACCCTCCTCACCAGTGGGCGGGGGCTGATGGCGAGACACTCTGCTGTTTCGGCGCGCGGCGCAGAAGTTTTGCGTCACGACGGGCAGGGCGGGGACCGGGTCACGGCATATTGACGCGACTGAAGAGGGTGGTGCGAAAAGGCAGGGCGGGGCTAAGGGCGGGACGACCGTCGGATTGTGGGCGGAATTAAAGTTGGGTTGTGTGCTCTTACACGCGGTACAAGCTTGACGGTGCAGGCTCTGGTTCGAGGTAGCGTGGAGGGCGAGACTGTGGGCGGGGAAGGGAGGGCCATGAACGGGACCAGATCCCGGAGCGCCGGACACGAGCAACCTAGCTTGGTTTGAGAGCCCTGCGGATTGATGCGCGCAGTCCTTCGCTTGCTTAGCTCATTTCACTCTGGTAACAATGCTGAGAAGTCGAAGCATTGCTCCGTTTTGTGGACGAGGAAACTGAGGCACAGAGCGTTTCCGTTGCTTGTCCAACATCAGCAAGCTGGGAGCCTAGATTCTAGCGTTGGCAGCCTGACCTGGTCGTCGGTCTCACTCTGTGCTCTGTTTTGAGATGTAAGGACCCCATGGAGCCCCTGGCCTGTCCTTTCAGTGGCATCCGTTGGTGATGGGGCCAGAGTGGGAAAGGAGGCAGGGCCAGGGCCCCAAGATGTCGGGAGGCCAGCAAGGAGGAGTGTCTGGAGGCTGGGGCAAACTGGGGACCGGGTTTCTTCTAAATGTGGGGGAGGACAGTTAAGATCCCTGGATCATGAAAGCTGATCCGACCACGTGGTTGTGAGTGGAGCATGAAGGGCAAACTCTCAGCTACTACCAGGTGACACTGAGCCAGACAGAGACAGGAGGCAATAGCAGGACTGCGGCAGCCCTGAGGCTGTAAGTCCAGAGACCTCCTCTGGTTCCACATCACCTTAATAGCTCTATGAGCTCGCCTTGCTCCCGGCTCTACACCCTCTGGACTCAAGACCATGCTCCCTGGGTTAGAACCCCAGCTCCAGTTAGTGGCTGTGTGCTCTGTACTGAACCAGAGCCGAGGACAGCGTCTGGCACTTGGTAGAGGTTCGGTGATGTTTGTTGAGTGACTGAGGAACTCACAGAGGCCCTGAAGGGCTCCGGTGGACAGAGATGAGATCCTGTTGAGTAAGAAGAAGCCCAGACTCAGCAGTGGCTGTTGCTGAGTGCCTGGCTAGATGCTTCAGATGTCTGGGGAGGAGTCCAGGAGTGCCTGGCCATGGGCGGCTAGTAGGGTAGCCACAGGGGACTGCAGGAGGGAAAGGGAAAGAGGGTGGAGAGGTCACAGGCACCCCAGAGGAGGTGTGGGGCAGGGTGGGCTGAAGTTCCTTGCTGCCCCTCTGACCTCATCTCCAGGGGCTCAGCCACTGGCCGAGAGCCCAGTGTGAGGGGACAGGCTCAGAGCTCAGCAGCAGCCTGGATTCTGGCCTCGTTCTTCTGACACAGCCCCCCTTAGAGAGAAAGGGTTTATCTTAGGCTCCAAGTACTGCTTTAACAAAAATACCACAAGTGGGTGGCTTTAAAGAACAAGAAGTTATTGTCTCACTGTTTTGGAAGGTAGCAATCTGAATCAGCATAGCTCTAGGGGAAGTCCCTCCTTGTTAGTAGCCCTGAGCATTCCTTGGTTTGTACACAGGTTGTAGATATGGTGTCTGTCTTCTCCCTGTGTCTCTTCTGTTCCACTCAGTCACCACTCAGAAGGAATTGGGTTTAGAACCTATCCTACTCTGGTGTGACCTCATTATCCTACAAAAGAAAACCCCTCTTTCCAAACAGGGTCACATTCATAGGTATAGGAATTAGGATTTCCACTTAAGTTTTTTTGGGGACGTAATTCAATCCATAACAGGGAATGACCTGATGGTCCCACAGGTCCCTCCTTGATAAGAAGCCCTCATGACCCTTTGGAACTTGGTCTCCCACGGGGCTCTGGGTATTTCCTGGGGACAGAAACTGCCCTTTGTTCCAGTGGGGAGGATGGATTGGGTTTGGCCAGAGGCCAGGCATGGCCATATGGAGACACTGTCATAGAACAACATCACAGAGTCTGGTTAAGTGAAAGCAAAAGAAATTTACTGAGGGACAGAGATGATCTGAACTGGGAAGACATCCACATTCACAGAGTGAAGATGCCCGCTCCAATGGACAATGAAGAAGAACACAGTTTTGTATATTTCAAGCAGGAACTGAAAGTCACAAAATCATGATTGGCTGAAAGACAATCAAGGGAGTCAAAGGCAGGATATCCAAAAGCAGGGATTTAGCAAGGATGAGTGGATAACATATGTGGGATTACATGATTGGTTGTTGTTAGGCACTGTCAGTCGGCTCCAACTCATAGCGACCCCATGTACAACAGAACAAAACCCTGCCTGGTCCTGCGCCAGCCTCACAGTCCTTGCCATGTTTGAGCCCGTTGTTGCGGCCACTGTGTCAATCCATCTCATTGAGGGTCTTCCCCTTTTATGCTGACCCTCTACTTTGTTGTTGTTGTTGTTAGGTGCCGTCAAGTCATCTCTGACTCATAGAGACCCCATCCACAGCAGAACAAAACACCGCCTGGTCCTGCATCAGCTCCATGATCCTTGCTATACTTGAGCCCATCGCTGCAGCCACTGTTTCAATTCATCTCGTTGAGGGCCTTCCCCTCTTTCATTGATCCTCCACCTTACCAATCATGACATCCTTCTCCAGTGAATGGTCCCTTCTGACAATATGACCAAAGTAGGTGAGACAAAGTCTAGCCATTCTCACTTCCAAGGAGCATTCTGGCTACACTTCCTCCAGGACAGATCTGTTAGTTCTTTTAGCAGTCCATGGTACTTGCAGCATTCTTCGCCAGCACCACAACTCAAAAGCATCAACTCTTCTTCGGTCTTCCTTATACATTGTCCAACTCTCACATGCATATGATGCAATGAAAAATACCATGGCTTGTGTCAGGCACACCTTAGTCCTCAAGGAGACATCTTTGCTCTTCAGCACTTGAAAGAGGTCCTTTGCAGCCAATTTGTCCAGTGCTGTATGTCGTCTGATGGCCTGACTGCTGCTTCCTTTGGCGTTGATTGTAGAACAAAGCAATGTGAATTCTTTGACAACTTCAATCTTCTCTCCATTTATTGTGATGCTGCTTATAGGTCCAGTTGTGAGGATTTTTGTTTTCTTTATATTGAGCTGTAATCCATACTGCAGACTGTATTCTTCAATCTTTATCAGTAACTGCTTCAAGTCATCCTCACTTTCAGCTAGCAAAGTTGTGTTGTCAGTGTATCACAGGTTGTTAATGATCCGTCCTCCAACCCTGATGCCACGTTCTTCTTCCTATAGTCCAGCTTCTTAGATTATTTGCTCAGCATACACTTTGAATAAATATGGTGAAAGGATACAACCCTGACACACTCCCTTCTTGATTTTAAACCATGCAGTGTCCCCTTGTTCTGTTCAAATGACAGCCTCCTGGTCTATATACAGGTTCCTCATGAGTACAATTAAGTGTTCTAGAATTCCCATTCTTCTCAATGTTACCCATGATTTGTTATGATCCACACAATCAAATGCTTTTGCATAGTCAATAAAACACAAATAAACATCTTTCTGGTATTCTTTGCTTTGAGCCAAGATCCATCTGGCATCAGCTATGATATCCCTCATTCCACGTCCTCTTCTGAATCCAGCTTGCATTTCTGGAAGTTCTCTGTCAATATACTGCTGCAACCATTTCTGAATATATTCAGTAACATTTTACTTAGGAGCTCTGGTAGCATAGTGCCTAAGGCATTTGACTGCTAACCGGAAAGCTGGTGGTTCAAACCCACCATGCCACTCCTCGGAAGGAAGGTTGGGCAATCTACTTCCATAGTGATACTTCCTCAGAAACCCAAGGAGGGATCGCTATGAGTTGGGGCCTACTCCACGGCACATAACAACAGCAACACCATTTTACTTGCATGTGATGTTAATGATACTGTTCGATACTTTCCGTATTCTTTCTTTGGAATTGTGTTAGATTGGGTTCTCTAGAGAAACACACACAAAAAAAACCAGCAAGGTATATATATATATTTATAGAGCGAGAGAGAGAGAGAGATTTATCTTAGGCAAATGGCTCACAAGCGTATAGAAACCGACAAGTCCAAGCTGCAAAGTCCGTCTCTGTAGGAGGTGGGGCTTGCAGCCACCTTTGTTTCCGCAAGCACAGCGGAGCCGAGAGATTCAAGCTGGCATGCAGTATATTGGTTGTTGTTTCCAATAAAAGATGAATCCGAGATCTCCAGGGGAGCGGTGAGCCGCTCACTCAAGGAAGTCTGTAGTTCGGAATGCTGTTCTTCCAGATTGTCCTTGGAATATCATTGCAAGCAGGCCCCTAGGGAAACTCCCCTTGGGCAGACTGGCCACTCAGAACTCAGTCATCTGATCCCATCATGGGAACAACCACCCAGAACTGGGGTCCAGCCAAGTTGACACACAGCTCCAACCATCACAGGAATGGATACAAATACGGATCTCTTCCAGTTAGTTGGCCAGGTAGCTATCTTCCAACTCTCTTGGCATAGTCTAGTGAGTGCCTCCAGCAAGGCATCCATTTGTTGAAACATCTCAATGGGTATTCCATTGATTCCTCGAGCCTTGTTTTTTGTAAATTTCTTCAGTGCAGCTTCAGCTTCTTTCTTCAATACTTTTGGTTCTTGATCATATGCCGCCTCCTGAGATGGATGAACGTCAACCAATTCTCTTTGGTACAGTTACTTTGTGTATTCCTTCAATCTTCTTTTGATATTTTATGCATCATTCAATATACTGCCCACAGAATCTTGAGGGTTAAATTTTTTCTTCAGTTCTTTCAACTTGAGAAATGATGAGTGTGTTCTTTTGGTTTTCTAACTCCAGATTTTTGCACAATTCATTATAATAATTGACTTTGTCTTCTCGAGCTGCTCTT